ATATTTTATTTATTTCTTCTGGTAAATGTGTTGGCTCCCCTGCCGAGTCCTTAATAACTGAGATTGTTGTTTTTTCTTTGATTCATTTAATTTGATTTGCCAAGTATTTGCCTGATTTATTGCTATGGTGGAAATGTTCTTGTCGAAGTCTGTGTATAAAAAAAGATTGAGTTTGCTTATTCATAATTTCATTTAGTTGAAATTTATGTTTTCTTTCTGGGTTTCCTTTGTTTGGCTGCTTGCTTTGATGTTTTTAAGTCTTTTGATGTTTTTTTGTTCCAGACTTGTTCCTTTTCTTTCTTTTTTATATAAACAAAGAATGAGATTATTTTTCCTCTTAATACTGCCTTTGCTCTTTCCTACAGAAGGGTTGGAGATGGCTTTGGGTATAAATCTAAAGAAGTGGCTCAAAAGTACACAAACCTGTAACCACAATTAATGAACTAATGTACATTATATGTTTTTTTTTTCTTTTTTTCTTTTTTTGGGAGTGACTCTTTGTTTTTTTATTTATGGTTCCCTTCTTCTTTCTTTTTGTGTTTAGTTACCATGCACCTCACTATATAACTGACTCCTACAATCAATTACTCACAACTACAACAATAACTATGATCTGGACTTTGCATTGCTGCAGCTTCACACTCCACCTACATCCCCCAAACAGTCCCTTTTCCCCTGGGTGCTTATTATGGATTTCTTTCTTTCTTCTTTCTTTCTTTCTTTACTCACTTATTATTTAAATTTATTTATTATTGGGTTTTTTTATTATTATTTTCTTTTTTTTCTTTTTCTTTTTCTTTTTTTTCTCTCTGCTCTCCTATTTATTTATCTCTTTTTTGTTTCGGGTTTACTTGTTTACCATGTACTCTGCAATGTAACTGACAGCACTTGGAAACCAGCTCTACAGCACTTTAACTTCTATTGTTCTCCGTTATTCTAGCATTTTAACCCCCACTGTCCTTACATCTACTACTTTTATCCACCACAACTGATCACAACTACAACAAGAATTATGTTCTGCATTGCTACAGGCTCACACTCTATCCACACACCCCATACAGCCCCTTCCCCCCGTCTGATTATTACTTGGTTGCATCCAGAACCAGGGCGTAAAGTTTACACATACTTAAGGCACTGGAGGCAACACAATGTGTGAAATGTGTCTTAATGTATTTTATATTTTGTAACTGCATATTTTATGTGTACTGTATTGATTCTTTATTATTTCTTTAGGAACTATGCTGACAAACATCTGGCTGGGGGACTACCAATGTAAATCAGCCCTTGGCTGCAATTGGGTGCATCTACATTTTCTTTTTGTTTCTTTAAAGGGAATGTTCATTGATGTACACTGTCCCTTCTTAAACAAATAAATTATTATTATTATCATCCATTTCCAGGAAGAACGCCCACTCTCTTTTAATATAACTGTAGAATTCAGGGTCTTTAAGGAGAGCGGGGTAAAGCGCTATCTGGTGATCGGTTTATGTGGGCTGATTCTATTCCAAGTAAATTTAACAGGGGCATGATCGCTTATAATGATGGGGTGAATCTTTGACTCGGAGATATTAGATATAATTGAGTTGCTGGTGAGGAAAAAATTAATGTGAAAATATGAATGGTGAACTGGTGAGTAGAGCGAGAATTCTTAAGCAGTCTCAGGTGTTGCAGTCTCCAACTATCGCCAAGACCAAAATCACTCATGAACTGTTTTATTGTTTCTGTGAATTGTCAAGTACGCTTATTGTTTGCAATGTTAGATCTGTCTAGTGATGGGTCAATATCTTTGTTAAAGTCGCCTCCTATTATGACTGGACAATTGGAGATGTTTGAAATAGAGGGAAAAAAATTACAGAAGAAGGATGGCTCATCTATGTTTGGGCCGTACACATTGCTGATTGTTAGTGGGTTATTGTTGATTGATACACTGCCTGGCCAAAAAAAAAGTCGCCACCTGGATTTAACTAAGCAAATAGTTACGAGCCTCCTATTGGATAATTACTGCATGGGCGATTATCTTTCAGCTGGCAACAAGTTATTTAACCCCAACTGGTGCAATGAGTTGCTTCTTATTTCCTAAACAACCATGTCGAAAGACACATCCCGTGGTCGTTGAAAAGATGTTAGTCTGTTTGGGAAGGGTCAAATCATTGGCATGCATCAAGCAGAGAAAACATCTAAGGAGGTTGCAGAAACTACTAAAATTGGGTTAAGAACTGTCCAACGCATTATTAAAAACTGGAAAGATAGTGGGGACCCATCGTCTTTGAGGAAGAAATGTGGCCGGAAAAAAATCCTCAATGATCGTGATCGGCAATCACTTAAACGTTTGGTGAGATCAAATCGAAGAAAAACAACAGTAGAACTCAGGGCTATGTTTAATAGTGAAAGTAAGAGCATTTCCACACGCACAATGCGAAGGGAACTCAAGGGATTGGGACTGAACAGCTGTGTAGCCTTAAGAAAACCACTAATCAGTGAGGCTAACCGGAAAAAAAGGCTTCAATTTGCTAGGGAGCATAAAGATTGGACTCTGGAGCAATGGAAGAAGGTCATGTGGTCTGATGAGTCCAGATTTACCCTGTTCCAGAGTGATGGGCGCATCAGGGTAAGAAGAGAGGCAGATGAATTGATGCACCCATCATGCCTAGTGCCTACTGTACAAGCCTGTGGGGGCAGTGTTATGATCTGGGGTTGCTGCAGTTGGTCAGGTCTAGGTTCAGCAACAGTATGTGCTCAAAGAATGAGGTCAGCTGACTACCTGAATATACTGAATGACCAGGTTATTCCATCAATGGATTTTTTCTTCCCTGATGGCACGGGCATATTCCAAGATGACAATGCCAGGATTCATCGGGCTCAAATTGTGAAAGACTGGTTCAGGGAGCATGAGACATCATTTTCACACATGGATTGGCCACCACAGAGTCCAGACCTTAACCCCATTGAGAATCTTTGGGATGTGCTGGAGAAGGCTTTGCACAGCGGTCAGACTCTACCATCATCAATGCAAGATCTTGGTGAAAAATTAATGCAACACTGGATGGAAATAAATCTTGTGACATTGCAGAAGCTTATCGAAACAATGCCACAGCGAATGTGTGCCGTAATCAAAGCTAAAGGCGGTCCAACGAAATATTAGAGTGTATGACCTTTTTTTTTGGTGGTGACTTTTTTTTGGCCAGGCAGTGTATGTTAATGATGATAAAACACCCTTCAGGATCTGTAATTGTTTAATGGCTCTTTGTTTTGTGTTGTAATTAGCTGAAAACAAGTGGTTGAAATGTGATGATTTTAATTTAGCCCTGCTCATGTCAATGCATCTGTTGGAGAGAGAAGGGGGTGGGGGTCTAGAAGAGCCAGGGGGTTATGTCCTTATCACGGTATAACCGTCCACTGAGATAACTGCTCTTTTGCCTTCTTTCATCAATTGTTTCTGGATTTGTAATAGTAGTTTGCTTCGTTGTAAAATGTCCCGGGGGTATTGGTCATTGACTCCATAGTTTGTTCCTTTTAGCTGTTTGCCTTGTCATTGAACTAGTTCTTTGTGTTTATAGTGCTCAAATTTTGGAATGATTGGTAGTGGTCTGTTGTTGATGTTCTTTGATCCCATACGGTGCACGCGGTGAAAAGTGATGTTGTTGATTGTTTCTGTGGGTAGTTTAAGCTGTGTGATCATGAATTCCTTAACAGATTTTTCAGGGTCGTCTGGGGTTTGTTCCGAGATGCCAGTGAAAACCAACTTGTCCCTCATGCTGTGTGTTTGCAAGTCCAGAATGTTCTCTTTCATGGTTTTGTTTTTGGCTGTGATGGAGGTGAGCTGAGTGGTAAGTGTTTTAACGAACTGTTTTAGTGAGTTATTTTCTTTGACAAGTGTTTCGATCTGGTCTTGGCTGAATTCCAGGCTGTGACGGAGTGCCTGGAATTCCCTGTGCAAAACCTCAATCAACGCAATTCTGCCATCAAGTCCTGTGAGTTTATTTTCAGTGGAGATTAGAATGTTGCTTACCTCTGTGCTGCACAGTGGTTTGGGGGGTAAGGATGGTGATGTATCCGGGCTGGAGAGTGACTCTGGACGGACTCGTTTGGCATTCGGATTGGAGTTGGATTTCCCCTTTTTATCATTGTCTGTTTTGTCCTTATTCATGATGCAGAATCAGTTGAAACACTTGTCAGTGTATTCTTCTAGGTGCTCCAGGTCGGTTGATGGTAAAGTCCGGTAGGAAAAAAAGAAAAATTTTATGTCCGATGAGATATGGTGTTTGGGTCTGGAGTCTAGCAGCTGGGGGCTGCCATGTTGACTCATGCACCATCCCACGAGAGTTGCGTTCACCAAGCAAGCACTGCCATGAGAGCTAAGCCTCCCCCATGACAGCTAAGCCTCACACTACTAAACTGCATCTCTAACCATGGCTGCCACTGTTTGACAAGAGGAGCACAAAGAGAAGACGCTACTGTAACTTTTGTCTTTGTGTTTTGGAAATCTGCAAGTATTCATCACAATTGCACTTCTTTTTCTTGCTTCTCTAACCTTTCAACAAATCATATGTAATGTCATCTTTTTTTCTGTTATCTTCACCAAGACTGCACAGACTGCACTGCTTCTATACTTTATTTTAACTTTAAAATGTATTGAATTAGATACTGCGTTACACAGCTATGTAGCAAAAATGTCACTCAGGTAAGTGAGGTTGTTGAGGGGTAGATAGCAGAAATATACATTTATAATACCATGATCTGTCAATGTCAGTAATTTCTTTTAAAGTTTCTGGACCTGGATCATCACTGTAAACTAATTACCTTTGGTTAGTTATTTCTCACTGTTTTTTTGAGCTTACTTGCTACTTAACAGACAGACAGACAAACAGACAGAACTGAAACATCAGCTCCTCTGTGATGATTCTGAGACAAAGCTTACATGCAGGGAGGCATTGAACAACCTTATTGATCAGAGTAAGTTTTTGTGGTTAATATGATGTCAACACTGTGCACCCATACAGTGGCATTATCGGGGAGCGCCTGCCTATCCGACTATATCTAACAGTGGGCATGCTGACCAGTGGCCTGTTCACCTGCCTATTTGGACTGGGTTATGTCTACAACATCCACAACCTGGGCTTCTATATATTTGTCCAGGTGAGACACATCACAGCACATTTGTAAATCACAAAAACACAACGTTGAAGCAGAGACCCTGAGGGTTATTGCTCCAACGTGCAATGCTTGCACTAGCCATAGCACTGTCATGAAAATAGAGCCAGCAGGCACATACACAATAGACATGTGACAACGATACACACAGATGCATTTGCTGGAAGGGGAATTCTCCTCAGCTCTCTGCATGGGGCACAGGTTAGCTAGATATGGCTGAAGCTGATAGTAAAAATATCCTGCACAAGGAAGCTTCTGTATGTATTGCCACAGAAAAAGATAAATGAATAACCTGTTCTGCCATTCCAAATTACAAATGAATGTTCACAGACACGGAGACACACACACACGCATACACATACACTACATAATCACAGGTTTATGTATCCATGCAATTACACATGGTCACACAAATAATATGTGTAGCTGTATTTCCAGTACCTTACTGTAAAATGAATACTGTCCTCATTCATCATCTTGTGATTCCAGGTGGCCAATGGCTTGGTCCAAACCACTGGCTGGCCCAGTGTAGTGACCTGCATTGGTAACTGGTTTGGGAAAGGAAGGTAAGGTCATACCATTTGTGACTGACTTTAGCAGGGGGAAAAAAATCAAATATGGAATTCAATTAAGCTTCTGTTGTAAAGTACATTTCATGACCAGATTGTGTTTTTGGATGATGTCTGGGGCAGTGTGTCAGGTAAGTTTTATTATTGCTGTGTTATTTTAACTCCTTATGACAAAGCTGGTAGTATCATTTCCACTACAGTCTGCGTATTTGCATAGTAAATCATGTCATGCTCTCTTTTGAGAAAAACCTAATGTTTAAAAAGGGCCTTTTAAAACTTTTTCTCTGCCTGTATGTACATGTATGTCCTTTGCAAATCTTTAGAACCATTTATCCAATTTACTTCACATTTGCAGGGTGTATTGCAGGAGATCCAAGGATGTGCAGTGTCAAATTTGGTGCAATTTGGACACACAGCATGCTTAATAAACTTTGAATAATCATAAGCTCTGTGGCTCTGGGCAGCGGTGGACGCAGGGCCTCAGGGCTCTGCAGTGTCAAACATTTTTTTGTTTTGTTTTGTTTTGGGGTTTTTTACTGTGAGAAGCCACGCATTGGGTGTATTTTTCTTTACAAAACTAAATTACAACGCTAATAGTGTTACTACCAGTAAAATAACTCCCCTACTTAAATCCATGTTCTACTTTGTAATCAGAGTACTTGTCAAAGCAAGTGACTAATACACCTGTTTGCAAATAAATAAATCAATAAAGTATTTCACTAGTGTTTCTGACTGTGAGTAGTAGGGCTGTCAAAAGCGCCATGAAATTGAGTTTGAATATTTCGAATTAATTTAGTAGAATTTGAATAATATTTTTTTTTACAAAAAAACACACAAAAAAAAGCTGCTTATTGCTGGTGCAATATGAACGTGATACTCGCTCTAATAGAGGACATTGGTGAACTGTGTTACAAGTGTAACCAAGGCCAAAAAGGGTAGGCAGGGAGGCGGCAGGTGCAACACTCTCTCTGTATGTCTCCTCGAACAGGTCACACATCACGGACAGCGCAGTGGGTGGTGTTGGCGCAGCAGGCTCCTCTGTCGGCGCCTCTCCCTCCGTCTCTGCGTCCCTCTCTGGCCCAGCTTGTGCGCGAGCCATCTCCGCCCGAACGTTACTGTAGACAATCTGCTTCTCGTCATCACACAGATGTACTAGTTTGTGAAAGCGAGGGTGCTTTGCAAAGCTTGCATTTAACATGGCTTTTATCCACGAATCCAAAGAAATCCCACACAGAACTTCTGCTGCTCTAATGGGACCAACTCCTCCCCCTCAACTGTCGCCATTTTCACCTTTCCTATTAATATATAATAACGAATGTTTTTGGTTTGAGCCCCCAAAGTTGGCGCGCTTGATTGACGTAGGCCTACTATAGGGGCTGGAAATGAACGTTATGAACGTAAATATACGTGTATGAGCATGATTCGCCGTGATATACAACATTATTAATAGTATTAATTAATTATTAATGATATTTGAATTATCAAATTTAGGTTCGAACTTATAAAAAAATATATATATATTCGAATACATTTCGAACTTCGAATTTTTTTTGACAGCCCTAGTGAGTAGCCACGAAGAGTGTGTTTCTCAGGGGTGGATTTATTGTGAATATACTGATGTGGGAGCCCCAGGCAAAGAGCATCTTTACCTCTCACCCTTAATCTAACCGGGAATGTTGTTTCTGGACTTGGTAGAGGTTCTGCTTAAAACTTTTTATGCCTCCGCACCAGTGATAACCATGGCCGAAGGCATTATATTTTTGGGTTGTCCATCTGTCCACTTGCCCATCCAGCCATCAGTCCATCCATCCCATTCTCATGAACGTGATATCTCATGAGTGCTTTGACGGAGTTCTATAAATTTGCACAAATGTTCACTTGGACTTAACAATGAACTGATCAGATTTTGATGGTCAAAAGTCAAGGTCACTGTGACCTCATCTGTCGCATTCTTGTGAATGCGATACCTCATGATCACCGTGAGGGAATTTCTTCAAATTTGGCACAAATATCTTTTTGGACTCCAGGATTAACTGGTTCGAATTTGGTGGTCGAAAGTGAAAAGCCAAGGCCACTGTGACCTCACGAAACATGTTTTTGGCTATAATTCAGGATTTCATTGACAATCATGACATAATTTTACACAAATGTCTAGTTGGATATAATGATAAAGTGATGACATTTTAGATCCCAAAGGTCAACTTCACTGTAATGTCAGAATGTTCTGCAAAAACGGTTTTCTGGCCATTACTTAACGTCATATCTGGGGAACAGAAGGGGAGACATTTGGTCAGATCCTGAATTGGTTACACTAATGTTGTACAGATCTGTGCTGCCGGGGGGAAAATGTGTGTGACGCATCCATGTTTTCACAGACATAGATGTAAACTGTAATAGAAACTTGACAGGCTTTTTGAGGCATAATACCACACAGTTAAAAAAAAAAAAAAAGAAAGAAAGAGAGGCATTATCAGGACAATGTAATTACATTTACTTAACACCCAATCAAGGATAGTATATTGAATAATAAGGCATCATGTTTTAATTGTTGGTAGTCCATACCCGGGGATGAGTTATGTATAGAGGAATAAGAAATCAAAAACAGTATATTAGAGGAGATGCAAAATGAGAGCACTGTAAATGCACTGTGTAATAAATATTAATGTAAGACAAACAATGCACACTGTATTTAGAAACGTGCTTTATGGCAAAATACGTGGAGCATAGTTTTGGCTGACGGCATGGAGGCACGTGCGTGCGCAGGCCGTGTCAAACCAATGCACACTGTATTTAGAAACATGCTTTATGGCAAAATACGTTGAGCATAGTTTTGGCTGACGGCACGGAGGCACGCGCATGCGTGGGGCCGTGTGCGGGCACACAGGTACACACATACACACGCAACACTGAGAAAGAATGAAAGAAACAGTGCAAAGTGCACAGCGCAATGTTTAGTTTGTAATGTTTGTAGGCTAATTTCAGTAAAGTGAAAATACGTAATGGCTGGCTCGCGCACACAGACACAGATGCGTGTACACAGACGCACGTTTGTTCAGTAAAATAATAACCTTAGTCTTCAGCAAGTGTTGGTGCTTGCAATTGCATGTCCCAGCCATAAACTGTGGTCCGAGTGCAGGTGTTCTCCGCGCATGCGCAACTCGCGCTGCTAAGTAGTGGAAAAAATGCGAATATAAACAGTAGAAATGTGGGAAAAATGCAAAAAGGGCATCGTGGCTGTCTGTACATGACCAAGATGAAAGCCTATGTGCAAGTTCAGAGAAATAGGTCAAAGCAGTGAGGAGGAAAACGGATGATGACAGACGCAGGGACGGAGGTTTCTCCATTTAATAGTAGGATATTCTGTGATTAAAATCTGACTGTGCAGTAACATGTCTCTGTCAGATAAATGTAGTAGTACAATATTTTCCTTTGAGTATGAAGTAAGTAAGTAGTATGTCATTGAGTTGCATTTTTGTTAAGTGCTTTGGGTGCCTTTTGTTTGTTATTTCAGGGCTCAGTGCTCAACATTGTTTTTAAAGTATTAGCTTAAAATAAAGACCATTACTATTCTGTTATCAGCTGACAGTGACACTGTCTAACAACAAGACCGCAATGACAGACACAGAAAAGAGCCACAGAATTTGAACCACAGCCTACATTAGCTTTCTGCCAATGACCTGCAGACATGAGAATGTCTTACGTTGCACCTTGGCTTGTTGAATGAGACACCAAACAAATACTCAGCAGGTAAATGTAATCTAATGTATGATCCTTGTTCTTCAATACCACTGCTAATAATTGGTTTGTGAACAACAATTTGTTGACACTGTGTCTGTACCCCAGCTCAAGGCTAAAGGTGCATTTCTGATTTAACTCAAAAAACATTTTCTGTCTACTTTGACATGATATCCAGCACTTGGGAAAGTCTGACTGAGTGCAGAGAAACAGTAGAAACGGTACATAGTGCTGTTGAAGGACTGTTCAGTTTACTGTTTCTGATGAGAAACATTTGCCTTTTACTGTACAACTGCACCCTCTTAGTGTTTTTTTTATATTTAGTGGACTGCAGTGTTGGTTGTTGGGGAAATGTTTTCTCTGTAGAATGCTTCTTATTCATTGTAATGTAGGAAACAAGTTTGGATTTCTTTTTTCCAGTGACTTAAAAAGTGTTCATACACATTTTGGCGAATATGGAGAATGTGCAGTATTTCAGTAAGTGGAGGTGTGATGCATTTGCCTTTGAGAGGAATGAACTGACTAAGTTTAGCACACAGGAAGATATACAGTACAGGCCAAAAGTTTGGACACACCTTCTCATTCAATGCGTTTTCTTTATTTTCATGACTATTTACATTGTAGATTCTCACTGAAGCCATCAAAACTATGAATGAACACATGTGGAGTTATGTACTTAACAAAAAAAGGTGAAATAACTGAAAACATGTTTTATATTCTAGTTTCTTCAAAATAGCCACCCTTTGCTCTGATTACTGCTTTGCACACTCTTGGCATTCTCTCCATGAGCTTCAAGAGGTAGTCACCTGAAATGGTTTCCACTTCACAGGTGTGCCTTATCAGGGTTAATTAGTGGAATTTCTTGCTTTATCAATGGGGTTGGGACCATCAGTTGTGTTGTGCAGAAGTCAGGTTAATACACAGCCGACAGCCCTATTGGACAACTGTTAAAATTCATATTATGGCAAGAACCAATCAGCTAACTAAAGAAAAACAAGTGGCCATCATTACTTTAAGAAATGAAGGTCAGTCAGTCCGGAAAATTGCAAAAACTTTAAATGTGTCCCCAAGTGGAGTCGCAAAAACCATCAAGCGCTACAACGAAACTGGCACACATGAGGACCGACCCAGGAAAGGAAGACCAAGAGTCACCTCTGCTTCTGAGGATAAGTTCATCTGAGTCATCAGCCTCAGAAATGGCAAGTTAACAGCAGCTCAGATCAGAGACCAGATGAATGCCACACAGAGTTCTAGCAGCAGACCCATCTCTAGAACAACTGTTAAGAGGAGACTGCGCCAATCAGGCCTTCATGGTCAAATAGCTGCTAGGAAACCACTGCTAAGGAGAGGCAACAAGCAGAAGAGATTTGTTTGGGCCAAGAAACACAAGGAATGGACATTAGACCAGTGGAAATCTGTGCTTTGGTCTGATGAGTCCAAATTTGAGATCTTTGGTTCCAACCGCCGTGTCTTTGTGAGACGCAGAAAAGGTGAACGGATGGATTCCACATGCCTGGTTCCCACTGTGAAGCATGGAGGAGGAGGTGTGATGGTGTGGGGGTGTTTTGCTGGTGACACTGTTGGGGATTTATTCAAAATTGAAGGCACACTGAACCAGCATGGCTACCACAGCATCCTGCAGCGACATGCTATCCCATCCGGTTTGCGTTTAGTTGGACGATCATTTATTTTTCAACAGGACAATGACCCCAAACACACCTCCAGGCTGTGTAAGGGCTATTTGACCAAGAAGGAGAGTGATGGAGTGCTGCGGCAGATGACCTGGCCTCCACAGTCACCGGACCTGAACCCAATCGAGATGGTTTGGGGTGAGCTGGACCGCAGAGTGAAGGCAAAGGGGCCAACAAGTGCTAAACACCTCTGGGAACTCCTTCAAGACTGTTGGAAAACCATTTCAGGTGACTACCTCTTGAAGCTCATGGAGAGAATGCCAAGAGTGTGCAAAGCAGTAATGAGAGCAAAGGGTGGCTATTTTGAAGAAACTAGAATATAAAACATGTTTTCAGTTATTTCACCTTTTTTTGTTAAGTACATAACTCCACATGTGTTCATTCATAGTTTTGATGCCTTCAGTGAGAATCTACAATGTAAATAGTCATGAAAATAAAGAAAACGCATTGAATGAGAAGGTGTGTCCAAACTTTTGGCCTGTACTGTATGTCCAGCAAAGAAGAGATTGAGGGAGAACTTGCTGCCTCTGAAAGTCACTAACACCTGGATGTGGATGTGTGTGTCTTTCTGTCAGGCGTGGACTCATCATGGGGTTGTGGAACTCTCACACCTCAGTGGGAAACATCCTGGGCTCTCTGATCGCAGGCTACTGGGTCTCCTCCAACTGGGGCCTGTCCTTCATTGTACCAGGGCTCATTATTGCTTTCATGGGCATCGTCTGCTTCCTCTTCCTCATTGAGCGTGAGTGCAGCCCCCCCATTGGTTGGAGGGCAGCGATATGTTTATATTTTACCAACTGGCTAGATTTGTTTCTTATTGAGTATTAAGTCTTGAGTGTCTTGTGCAATTAATACACTTACAAACAAGTGCACACATTAATTGGCTCTTTCTTCCTTAGTAAAGTAAGTTTCCATTTACTACATTAATTCATTCACTCATGGTTTTTACAAAGGTATCTGGCTTGCTGAAAAAACATGTTTAATTATGTAAAGAAAGAACTCTAACTAGCTGTCAGAGTGGTAAGTTAAGACAGCCTGCTCTGTGTTTTTTTTGTTTTTTTTTCTAGTTTGGTAGCTTGCTGACAAACAGCAGCAGCTCTTTGCAGGACTTCGCAGCCGTAAATGGACGAGTATCATAGTAACGTTATGACATCTTTTTCCCCTCTCCAGATCCAAATGACGTGAAAAGCATGTATGCTCAAAATACGTCTCCGGGCAAGAGTGTGAGTACAGAGAGTTTTTCTTGTTTCTTTTTTCAGTAAGTAGAAAGACAGTTGCTTTTTTCTTTGTATTTAGATTTTTATCAGCCGCAATAACAATCATGACAGCAGGTATTGTTTCCACCTTGTGAGCCTGTGTGCATCTCATCATGTGTGGTCAATGTGGTCTTGGTGACAACAATTGCAGTGGGAACTACCACAGAAGCTGTTTTGAGTATTTTGCTAGGTGCTTACATAACCCCTTTTTCACTGCCTGTTCAAGGCGTGAATTGTATTTGGTTTCGTATTGGCCGTTTTGTATAAAAGGTGTGATTGCAGAATGGGGAGACAGGGTTATTTTGCCGTTGAGCCAGCAGCGGAGATAGTGATAGCACCAAATTCGATGTCCGTATAAAAAGGACAGCCGGCAGGACAGGACCATAGATGGGATGAGTGTGACATTGTGGCAATGTGTTAAGTGTGTCACCCACCGCCAGGGTTTTTAAAACCAGCTAGAAGCAGTTAGCAGCTAACTCTTTCTGTTATCCGCTGTGAGGGTCCAAAGGACAGAGGGATGTCGTATGCTGTAAAGCCCTCTTAGGCAAATTGTGATTTGTAATATTGGGCTTTATAAATAAAATTGATTGATTGATTGATTAATTGAACTCAAAGAAGAACTGGCTGTAAATGTCCACAAATGTGTAAAACTATGAGAACCAGGAGTCCCTTACCCAACCTCCATATAACAGAGACGATAAATGATTGTTGTTGCCATGTTATTAGGGGTTCAAGCCTGAAGGGCTGAAACCCTAATGTTTTTGTCCTGTTTTATTAGGGTCCGAGCACCAAGCAGTGCGAGGACCCTATTGAAATGCAAGGAATTTTTTTCCTCCAAAAAGAAGTGCATTTTTGAGGTTTAGGGTACTCAAAAACTCATGAAACTTTGCACACTTATGTAAACTGGCGAAAATCTACATTTGATATGGGTATGGTTGAGGGGTGTCACAAAATGGCTCAGTAGCGCCCCCTACAAAATTTCGACGATGCAGCCCCCGAAGCTGCTTTCACCTACTTGTATGAAACTTGGTAGACACATGTTGCAGTCCAGGGCATACTAAAAAGCCTCTTGGAGCCATACTCCAAACCCAATAGGAAGTCGGCCATTTTGAATTTACTGTGCATTTTTGGCCATTTCCAGGGCTCATAAATTAACGAACTCCTCCTAGAGATTTTATCCGATCAACTTCAAACCTTGGTCTGTCCCACCGGAAGACCTTGAAGAAGAAAAGTTATTACAGGCTTGACTTTTCGTCAAACTGTGTGACTGTGGCAAGGCGTCTAACTTAGGGGTCTCGCCACAAAACAGGAAGTAGTTTATAACTCCAGCATACATGGTCCAAACTTCACAGGATTGATGACAGTCCCGCCCTGAACACATCTACATGTCAATAATTAGTGATGAATATAGCGCCCCCTACTGGCAACATGAAATGTCATGTTTTACACTTTGATGTACACCTCCTACAGAGTTGACCAGGTCCACCTCAAAAACACAAGACCTTGGTGATGCTTTATTGTGTAAACTGTGAGTTTTCATCACAGGGCGTGGCCATGGCCTGGCGACGAATTTCGATATTTTGCCGTGATGATAAACATTGCTGTAACTTTACTCTACGTGGGCATATCTTTCCAAAACTTAAGACATATGATAACAGTCCAGCCTTGAACACATCTACAGAAGAATTTTGAGTCACTGTCATAGTGCCACCAACTGGCAACAGAAAATTACTGTTTTCATTCTTTGATGTCCCTCTTCTAGCAGATTATTCAGACCCACCTCAAATTTGCTGATAAATAGTCCTAAGACATTGATGATACTCAAAAATGAAGTTTTTGAGTTTTCATCAAACGCTTTCACCTTGGCAACCTCTTTTTTTTTTTTTTTTCTAATTTATTTAAAAGGGACAATGCACATTAATGAACAACAGTAAAAACAGAGTAAATGTGCTGAAGTTAGTGCAATGCTAATTCACATTTGGAGTCCCTTGGCAGTTTATTCGCCATAAAACACTAAGTAGTTTTTAAGGGACAAGGGATGCTTGAAAACTCACCAAATGTGGCACACACATTAGGAGTCGCAAATTCTGTTGTCTTTCTGCCTTTTCTGTTGTGTTATCATTTATGTGTTTTGATATGCCAAGATAGCTCAACAGTGCCAACTCCAAAATTTCGACAAAGCAGACCCCAAAGCTGGTTTCACCTGCATGTATGAAACTTGGTAGGCACATGTAACACTCTGAGACGTACAAAAAAGCCTGTTGGAGCCATGCTCCAAACCAAACAGGAAGTCTGCCATTTTGAATTTACTTGTGCCACTTTAGTGCTTTTTTGGCCATTTCCAGGGCTCTTAAATTAATGAAATATTCAAACATTGGTCTGTCCCACTGAAAGACCTTGAAGAAGAAAAGTTATTACAGGCTTGAGTTTTCGTCAAACCATGTGACTGTGGCAAGGCGTTAAACTTTCATGTGTCGCCATAAACAGGAAGTGGTTTGTAACTCCAGCATACATAGTCCAATCTTCCCCAAACTTCACAGGATTGATGACAGTCCCGCCCTGAACACATCTATTTGCCAATATTCAGTATTACACGTAACGCCACCTACTGGCAACAGGAAATATGTCTTTTGAGATATTAATCTTTTGATTTACGTGAAATTTACATGTTTATATTTGATGTACAAAATCAGACATATCATTAGTGCATTCTTAAGGCCCATTTATGCTCCCTTTACCTACGAAAATGTATACGTCCGTTTCAAACGATGTTACCGTCACTGCCTACATACTTCCATGCGCCCTTTACGTTGGCATGGATGTTAACCAATACATCCACCAGGAGGCAGCCCAGCGTCAAAAGTTTATGACAACAACAAACTCAAAAACAAAGATAGCGACTGTGGAGGAGATATTGATAATGTACCTCTTACATAAAAGACAAAAACAGAGGCAGCGTTGTAGGAGGCGGTGGTCGGTGAGGCTGTTAAATACATCGCGACTGGAGGACGGAGAATTCTTTTCTCTAGTACTGCCGATGAGAGAAATTGAATTGTTATTTCTTCTTCGTGTCTCACTAGAGCTACGTATCGGGTAGTGACAGCAACACTGCCCCCACGGTTCCCGGTGGTACTGCTCCGTTTGGCCCGTATCCGTAAGCTTTATGGAAAGGTGCAGAAATACAGACGAAATGAACGCGGAGCACGGACAGAAGGCTCCCTCTGTATCCGGATCCGTATTTAACATTGAGCATAAATGGGCCTTTAAGGGTCAGGATTGAATGGTGTGGCTGTGGCATGGCGTCAGATTTTAATGTCTCGCGATGAAACACAAAATTGGTATAACTTTGGAGTAAATGGTCCAATCTGCACCACACTTCACATGTTTGATAATAGTCCCACCCTGGACACATCTATGTGACAATTTTCAGTCATAGACATAGCACCACCTACAAGAAACAGGAAGTACGTCTGTGTCCTGCCATCACCCCTGAGTTGCGTGAAGGTGCGAGGGCCCATTCATCGCTGCTTGCAGCTTTAATAGTTATTATCATTATTATTATTGTTATTATTCAAAAATGTGTTTGCAAATTCCCATGAGATGGTACATCATAGAGACCTATGATTGGAAGTTGTATGCAAAAGGTGCTCAAGAAATATAATACCATTAGGCCAGATGAGTTGCTATAATTAAGGTTTGACGAAATTTTGTTTTCAAAGGCCACCACCCTCGCACCGTATGTCAGATTGACTTTATATTGGACACACATGTTCAGGTGAAGGTCCGCCCACTAGATTTTCCACCATATTGAATTTTTTGAAAAACACTTGACATCTTGTCCTAAGGCGCCGGTTGGAATTGTACCAAACATTCTTTGAATCCTTATAAGATGAAGCTCTTTAAAAGTTATCAACAACTTTTTGTGTGTCGTTGCTTTTTGATGATATTGACCAATGAACATTAGAGGGGGTGTGGCTCAGCACATTAATGGAGTTTACTCCTTAACCATTGAGCCAATTGTCACAAAACTTGTAGGAAATAGCGACATACGTATCTGGATCATACCCTGAAAGTTTGATTCAAATCGACCAACAGGGGGCACTACACATGCAAATAGTTGATATCTCAAAATCAGCTAGAGATATTTGTACGATACTTGGTTTGCATCATCCAGGGTCATGTCTCAGTTGATGCACAAAATTTGAAAATGATTGCTTAAAGGGGGTGCGGCTTATTACATTAAATCTAAATTTCAAGACATTTCACATTCCATACTTCAGAAAATCATGATAAATCACCAGTGTGTCCTACACAGCTGAAATTTTTTCAGCACATCCACTGAATTGTGACAAAACTTGATGCAGCCTAAAGTCAATTCAGAAGTCCATATCTCTATATTTTTGAGAATATGCAAAATTAATTAACATCTATACTCCAAAAGTCTTCATCTAAATGCAACCACCATTGCCAAAAACATTCTTTGGATACTAGATGTCACGTTTGAAATGGTGTTCAGGTCTGTTTAACACTTAGCTCACAGTGATATTATTATCTTGTTGTAATTTGTTCTGTATGCACCACATTTTGTATTTCATCTCATTTTAACCAAATGTCACCAAAATATTTGACAATATACCTGAGACCAGCAGAATGATGTGCGATTTTTTTTTTTTTTTTTACAGAATTTTATCACCAACGCTTTAACTGTTATTGATATTAATATTTACCAAAGAACTTTAAAGGGGGCGTGGCTCAGCAAATGACTCCACAGCTTTTGGGCCAATCATCACAAACCTTGCAAGCAATGTCTTAAAGGACTACTCAGACGATTTGGGAGTTATGCCCTTTCTCTATCATTTTCATATTGAGACAACATGATCGATATCTTTTTTTTGTGTCGGTACGTCCAGTGGTTGGGCCTCAGCGGTTAGCATTGCGGCTTAGCTTAGCGAATACAATTGAAGTCTATAGGAGTTCGGTAGCCTACAGTAAAAGTGAACAAATAAACGTTACAGAAACCCTGAAGCTGGCATTTCTGCACATGCATTTAAAATAAACGTTTAAACATTAATTGGAAAAACGAGAGTCCTTTTTAGTCATTTTAGAAGAAGTTTGATACACGGAACTATAGTGTGTTTGTGTCCTGCACTGTGATCCGCGGAGGGATACACCGGTGAGCAGGCACGGGCACAGATGTAGCCTGTAAACAAAACTCAGTTGTTTATTTAGCCTAACAATATCTCCAGACTATAGTAGCTGCAATGGACGACTTTGAACGCGATTTTGAAGAGTTTCTTGTAGCGGACACAGATCCAGAGCCATACCTGTTTGAGCCGGAGTATACAGATTAGGAACTCCAGGTGTTGGATGCTGAGCAGGTGAGAAGAAAGGCTGAATCCTCCGAAGCGGCGGAACACAAGAGGCCGAGGGGAGACGGAGGTCAGGGGAGGATTGGTGGTGTAGCTGCGGGGCTTGCCAACCTATGCCTACGGAGGTGGAATCATTTTGCTGCACAGAATGGGATTCGGTGCTATCATTGTTGGGGAGATACATCATCAGGAGGAAAACCGCCGCAGAGAGTGCATCACAAGGAGTGAAAACTTTGCAGCAATCACTAATCCTAGCGTGATTGAAACATTTTTTCATGTTCCTAAGATAAACTGGAAAAAACGCCCCAGGCCTGCAGGAGCTGATGGACAGCTTTCAGTCGAGTGAGTAATATCGTCCGTGTCGTCTCTTTGTTTGCTTTTACCGAGTAACCTAGCATACCTGTCCCAGAGCCAGCTGCAGCTGTTGCTCACCGGTGTATCCCTCTGCACAGGGTGTAAACACACTATAGTTCCGTGTATCAAACTTAGGTACCAGGAAAGTTTTCATAAATTTGACCACTATGGGGCACCACAAATGCAAATGCCAGAAATAGGAGGATTGGAAGTAGGGAAGGGGTCATTGACCCCCTCAATTTGCACCCCTGGATGACATTTGCTTTAACTCATTGATAGCTTTATTGTGGCTGTGGTGACCCCTTCACAAGATGGTCTGTAGTGTTGTCAATTTTATTTGTCACCCTGAATTATGTTCCAGACATGGGGTCAGGGAATCTGCTTTATGCTGTGGGTGAAAAAGAGAATATAGGGAAAGATCACAGATAGATTACAGATAGTTTCACGCATATTTATTGATACTGTTTTAACATCTGACTTAACAGCAGGTGTTACCAGTGAAGGTATCTGAAATATGTGTTTTATCAAGATATCCCATTTGGGACAAGTTTAAACTGAAAATGTACCCACAGGTGAATCAGCAGCAAATGCCTAATACTGTACCTCCCATCATGATGGTGAAGACAAAATCAGTGGTGCACAATAAGTTTGTCTAACTGTTCTTCTGTATATTATCTATCTTTTCTTTATATTGGAGGTTAACAGACAACAATCTCCTTTCCTTTTATCTGTTGTATGTTTTTGACTTTCTAGTTATTTACAGTGAGAATCTGATTGACTTATTTAACATTTGGTAGCCAGTAGACATTTTATAATGCAATAATAAAAACTAACTGCCTTATGATTCTATTTTGAAGATCGATTGAACAAATACACATGAATTGGTTTATCAGTCATCTCTGCAGCTGGGAGATGAGGCTGTCTTACATACAGAGGTTCTGAATAAAAAGTAACATTTAATCTACAGTGTAAATGCAGCTTGAGGGACACACATGGTAGCACTCAACAAGAAGCATGGCAGCCATCACCATAGCTCATGTCTCCACATGTGTGTCTCTCAAACAACAGCTGTCTGATGTGGCAGCAGTAGGTTCACACATGCACACATACATGGGCATGCAATCGTATGCGCGGCTGTCAAGATTTACAATGCCTTTGTGACTGTGCAATAAAAAGACCTTTAAAGAAATGAAACTATACAGTACAGGCCAAAAGTTTGGACACACCTTCTCATTCAATGCGTTTTCTTTATTTTCATGACTATTTACATTGTAGATTCTCACTGAAGGCATCAAAACTATGAATGAACACATGTGGAGTTATGTACTTAACAAAAAAAGGTGAAATAACTGAAAACATGTTTTATATTCTAGTTTCTTCAAAATAGCCACCCTTTGCTCTCATTACTGCTTTGCACACTCTTGGCATTCTCTTCATGAGCTTCAAGAGGTAGTCACCTGAAATGGTTTCCACTTCACAGTTGTGCCTTATCAGGGTTAATTAGTGGAATTTCTTGCTTTATCAATGGGGTTGGGACCATCAGTTGTGTTGTGCAGAAGTCAGGTTAATACACAGCCGACAGCCCTATTGGACAACTGTTAAAATTCATATTATGGCAAGAACCAATCAGCTAACTAAAGAAAAACGAGTGGCCATCATTACTTTAAGAAATGAAGGTCAGTCAGTCCGGAAAATTGCAAAAACTTTAAATGTGTCCCCAAGTGGAGTCGCAAAAACCATCAAGCGCTACAACGAAACTGGCACACATGAGGACCGACCCAGGAAAGGAAGACCAAGAGTCACCTCTGCTTCTGAGGATAAGTTCATCCGAGTCACCAGCCTCAGAAATGGCAAGTTAACAGCAGCTCAGATCAGAGACCAGATGAATGCCACACAGAGTTCTAGCAGCAGACCCATCTCTAGAACAACTGTTAAGAGGAGACTGCGCGAATCAGGCCTTCATGGTCAAATGGCTGCTAGGAAACCACTGCTAAGGAGAGGCAACAAGCAGAAGAGATTTGTTTGGGCCAAGAAACACAAGGAATGGACATTAGACCAGTGGAAATCTCTGCTTTGGTCTGATGAGTCCAAATTTGAGATCTTTGGTTCCAACCGCTGTGTCTTTGTGAGACGCAGAAAAGGTGAACGGATGGATTCCACATGCCTGGTTCCCACTGTGAAGCATGGAGGAGGAGGTGTGATGGTGTGGGGGTGTTTTGCTGGTGACACTGTTGGGGATTTATTCAAAATTGAAGGCACACTGAACCAGCATGGCTACCACAGCATCCTGCAGCGACATGCCATCCCATCCGGTTTGCGTTTAGTTGGACGATCATTTATTTTTCAACAGGACAATGACCCCAAACACACCTCCAGGCTGTGTAAGGGCTATTTGACCAAGAAGGAGAGTGATGGAGTGCTGCGGCAGATGACCTGGCCTCCACAGTCACCGGACCTGAACCCAATCGAGATGGTTTGGGGTGAGCTGGACCGCAGAGTGAAGGCAAAGGGGCCAACAAGTGCTAAACACCTCTGGGAACTCCTTCAAGACTGTTGGAAAACCATTTCAGGTGACTACCTCTTGAAGCTCATGGAGAGAATGCCAAGAGTGTGCAAAGCAGTAATTAGAGCAAAGGGTGGCTATTTTGAAGAAACTAGAATATAAAACATGTTTTCAGTTATTTCACCTTTTTTTGTTAAGTACATAACTCCACATGTGTTCATTCATAGTTTTGATGCCTTCAGTGAGAATCTACAATGTAAATAGTCATGAAAATAAAGAAAACGCATTGAATGAGAAGGTGTGTCCAAACTTTTGGCCTGTACTGTATATTTATGCAGTGTTTTTAAAGATTTGTCTTCAGAAAGAAACAATGGATTTGGAACCGCAGACAGAGTAGGGATGTCAAAGTATAAGAGATGAACAAAAAAATTAAGTGAAACATGTGTGAACAATAATATAATTTTTTCCCTCCTCAAGCAGGTTCCAGCCAAGAGTTGGAGTGGTGTAAATGGACACACTGGGGTGTATCTGCAGTACAAGGACAACAAAACCCAGGTGTGTGTCACTGGGTGTATGATCATGCAGTGTGTATTGTACATGTGATCCTACTGTTGTATAAACATTTTTCAGCTATGCACAACTTTAAAACCCCTGAAAATGTGTTTAAATATTTTTTTCACTTTAACATTATATATTATTGAGGACATAAGCAACAGTTAAAGTTTAAAAAGGGTATTTAGGGTATTATTTATTTATTAAGAGTTTAACGCTCAAAAACTGAGCTAATATGCTTTGTCAGGACTGTGTAGGTTTAATCAGATGTGACCAAACACACACACACACACACACACACACACACACACAGTCATCAGATTCTGATTCAAGTGTTGCTGAATCCTGATTGGTGCACAGCAGTATGTCACATCACCTTTTTCCAGTTGAGTCCCACATACATTCAACCAGGCAGAAGAGCACAGAGAAAAACATGATTAGGAAAAAATCTGTCAAGTGGAATAACTAAACCAGTAAATGGTGTTCACGTTTGAGCCCAGTACTTAAAGCAAGAAACTGATTGGAAAAATGTAGTTTTACCCAGAGACATTTTTATTGTCAGTTAAGGAGACCTATGCGACATTTAAAGCATATCTATGATTCAGAGTCTGGGCCAGGGCTGGCTGCACACAGCTCTCAACGTGGATAACAGTGCAAACAGTGCTAACAGCAACAGAGCTAATAGTGTTAACCTGGGGGCAAACTGAGGGTGGTCGTTATGCTTCCGCTGACTTGAATGAGGATAAAATTAATTAATTTTGCCAATGGCAACACGTGATTTACCCGTAAGTTATAACTCTCAGTTTTGTCCATTGCAAAAATTGGCTTTAAAGCCTAGTACTTTGCCTGGGGGCTTGCTTTACATGCTAAATAGTTATTTACTTCTATATTAGTGCTCTCTGTGGCGTGTAGAGCTCCTTTGAAATTGCATCTGTTATTGTTTTTGAGCATATTAATCTAAGTCCCACAGACAAGTGGCCAAACCAGCCTCAGAGATTAGACGAATTAAACAGTTTAACTATCTGATTGCAGTTTGCAGTCCATTGAAAACATGATCAATAAATGTGACATTTTGGATTCAGTCGAAGAGCTACCTTATTACATTAACAGTTATCTTATCATATATGAAAACAAGAAATAACCAGAAGAACTCTTAAAATCATTGACAGCAATAGAGTATGAAATTTTTTTTTCTTCCTCCCAGCACTGTAGTAAATTGCATTTAAACATGTCATTGTAATCCAGACTCCATTTGTAGATACAGACAAAAACACAACAATTTTTAGTTTAAGGTGATTATACCCTCATGAAAACATTGTTATAGATATTATATTAAGGTTCTGCTAATATATGCCCATAAATCCTACACACTGGACCTTGAAAGCACTGGTCTATATGGCAAACACTGCCCATCCGTCACACAAAAGTCTAGATTAATGCTTGTATTCAGTGTTTACAGTTGGGGTCAAAAGTTTACATGTTTGCTATGGCTGTCATGAGTTTCTAATAACTTCTACAAGTCATTATCTGTGATTTTATGACTGGAACATGTACTATTTTGTCAAAAAAAAAGGTTAATCAAATTTGGTTCTTTAGTGAAATTATTATGGTTCTCCTGGAAATGTGACCAAATCTGCTGGGTCAAAGATACACATACAGCAATCTGAATTATCAATTTTGGTGATGTAGAAAGTTGTGTCAAACAAATTTGCTTTGTGACATGACTTCCTAACTTCCTGTGAATGATTATGATTGATGATTGATACAGCTGGTGACATCTCTGAATTGAATAGGGCTTGTTTGATACACTCAGTTTCAGCCACAAACACTACAATGGAAAAGTCAAAGGAGCTCAGCGTGTTTCTGAAAAAGTAGATCATTGATTAAGACAAGTCAGGAAAGTCACTTGGATCCATTTCAAAGCAGCTATAGGTCCCAAGATCAACCGTGCAAACAATTGTTTGTATGTGTAAAGTGCATGGCACAGTTGTGTCATTGCCACCATCAGGAAGAAAACACAAGCTATCACCTGCAGCTGAGAGAAAATTGGTCAGGGTGGTCATGAGACAACCAAGAACCACCAAAAAGCAGGTCTGCAATGAATTACAAACTGCTGGAACACGGGTGTCATTGTTCTCAGTCAAGCATGTTTTGCATCACTATGGGCTGAGAGGCTGCCACGCAAGAAGGAAGCCTTTTAGCGGAAAGTTCTGTAGTCAGATGAAACAAAAAATGAGCTTTTTGGCCACAATGACCATAAATATGTTTAAAGGAGAGAGGGTCAGGCCTTTATCTCTAGAACACCATACCTACAATTAAGCATGGTGGTGGTAGTATTATGCTCTGGGCCTGTTCTGCTGCCAGTGGAACAGAATGGAATAATGAAGGATTACTTCAAAATTCCTCAGGAAAACCTCAAATCATCAGCCAGAAGGAGACACAGTTGGGTATTTCAGCATGACAGTGATCAAAAACATTCATCAAAAGTAGTAACAAAGTCCTGACTTAAACCCCATTGAGAACACGTGGCCTGTACTGAAAAGAAAGACTGTGTCAAAAAGCCAGTGAATTACTTGAACTTCACTGATTCTTTCCAGAGAAGTGGTCAAATATTTAACCAGCAGCTTGTTGGGAACTTAAAGATGGCTACAAAAAGTGCCAGATTGAGAGGAAAATGGCCAAGGGACAGTTACTTAAATATAGGTATTGATATATGTATATTTTTGACCCTGCATATTGGTCACATTTTCAGAAAATCCATCATGAATTCATTAAAGAACCAATTTATTGAACGTTTCCTTGTGACATAGTATGTAAAAATAGAAAGTTTTAGAAGCTATTGAAAACACAAGACTACCACGATAAGCATGTTTTTTACAAGTGTATGTAAATTGCTGACCACAATTGTCAGTAATTGGTTACTCAGTTAGATAAGAGAATCTTTTATTACACTTCAAATTACAGTTTGGCAAAGTCACCTCTGTTCTGCTCTTTCATTTATTGTCACACAATGTGTCAGAGGTCACCATTCCAATTATCCTTAAAGAGGCAACAGATAGGATTTGTTTTTTTTAGCTTGGTGTTGCTCACACTGTCGCAACGACCAAATTGACTGTGGGGATCAGAGATAATCAAAATGTAGGCTGTAAAGCCACCACTATACCTCTATCTAATGTAGAATGAGAAGGTGGACACTATACTAAATAAATGAGTAAAGAGACTGAGCAACAATTATCAGATTTATCTAAAGAAAAAACAAATAGTAATGCAAATAATTATATCAGAATGCACAGTACCAGTACAAACAACTCACAGTAAATTATACCAAGATGTACAGTATCAGTACAAACAACAGTAGACACGTAAGGGATAATGTATAGTGAGCCAGTGACTGTTGAAAAATAACTCCCGTCTGAGGGCTGCCGTAGAATGGCAACAAGGATGTCAGCCGACCAACACTCGCTACCCGGTCCCTGGTTGCTGCGATTTGCGATGCTGGCCAGCTAGGAATTAACTAGCAGCCAGTACAGTACAGTCCTCTCTTGTCTAGCTAACATTTAGCCGTGTAACTTACTGATCCATTAGAAAGAAAGCTAGCTGGACATCGCCTGACTGAGGTTTACTCTTGTTTTTCCTCTTCTTTTATCACTCTCCTTTGCCTCCTCAGACAGAGGAGCTCGTTTTCTTTTGCTAGGCCGTTTTTCACTTGTTTCCAAACTTTGTCCGTCTGCCATTGTGCTTGTGACTCAACTATCTCATGTCCAACTCCTCATAAGGACCAGCTCCAGTCCCTGATTGGCTGACCAACCAGTTTCGCAATACATGACGCGTTTCCTGCCATAAAGCAGATTTTTTCCGTGAAATTTCGCGCCCGATGGCAGAAGCTTATTGCAAAGATTGCAAAGCCACTAAGTAACCTATGTAAATGCTGATAGTCTGATTTTACTGTGGCCACTACCCTGTGCAGCCCACATTATTTTCATAATGATATATTTAGGAAAAAATGCTATTTGTTGCCTCTTTAAGTTTCTCCATCAACTCAATTGATTTGGGTTAAAAACCACCTAAAACATGTAAAACCTTACCCAAAGGTGCTGTGAACTTCTATTTACTGTTCAGTTAGTAGGTGAACGGGGTTGTAGTACAGTTACACCTGCAGCCTCTGATCATCGCCTTGCTTCTCCCTCCCTCCATCTCTCTGTCAGAGCTACGACACAGAGCTGCTGTTGCCCCGGGACAGTGTGTGTGTCCCCACACAGCCGGTCGTTGTGGTAAAGAGAGAATCAGAGCCGTCCGCCATCAGCTTCATGGGAGCTCTACGCATACCAGTCAGTGACATGCACACACAGACACACACAAATCCATCATTAAAAACATCTGGGACCTCATTTATAAACAGTGTGTAGAGAAAAATATATGTGTGCACAGAGGCCAAAAATTGCATGTGCAAGAAATATTCTGATTTAGAAATCTTTTATATACTTTAAAACCGTGATTATCCCTGCAAGTGCACAATTTCCTTTTATAAATCCTAAATCAACTTGGAATTGTCCATCCATGAATCAGCCTCATATCTTGCCCTCAACTATAAATGGTCAGTGCAAAGCACCTCATTAACGCTGATGATGAGCCTGCTAAACAATGGTCCTTTACTGTGATAAATGGCAACAACTGAAAGACACTAGAGCATTTCTGTTTACAGCATTCAGACTGATGTCCTCACACCTTGCAAAATGGTTGCAACAATCAGTTGTATTGTCTTGTATTGTATGAAGGAATAATTATCAACAAACTGAAAATATGTAGAAGTCTTGGTTACATACAGTATATTTAACTTTATGATGCATATATCTCCCCTATATTAAACTATGTTGCAGGGATATGCTAACTGCTGACACGATACAGAATAGAGCTGTACAATGTTTGCCGGGGGTTCATAGATTTGTTTCTGTTTCAGCAATTCAGGTAAACATGGGCTGTGTACCAGGACTGGTGCAATGAAAATGTGAAATGATCTCACTGTGGAACTGTCTAATTAAAATAGCAGAGGGCAGAATAAATAGGAAGGTGTTTATGTGGAGTAAATCCCACCGTTATCCATGGGCAAAAGAGCTTTGTTAAATTTTTTAAGAAGGTGGACATAGTATGTATTTACAGAAGTGACTTGTGCTGCAATGTCAATTCTATTAAGAAGAAGCTGTTACTGAAATCTGAAGAGAAATGGTTCCAGAATATTCTGACAGTTCCAAAATTAAGGACATATATGTGCATATAAAGCAGAAGTTTGTGAGTCCCATTTTCTTTTATACTGCGCAAACTATGACATGAAATGGCTCGTCTAATCCCTGACTCTCCTGGTGCTCAGATGTTCAATTTTTATGTGTTTAATGTTGCCAGTTTTGTGGCAAAAGCCTGGAAAAGAAGGCAAGAAAGTTTGTTAAATTATTATTTTATTTTTTTTTCAGTGCCAGCCAGTAAATGCCTCACTGAGTGATCCATGAACTTGGTCTTGCACAGTAATGTTCTGATTATGTACAGAGCTTTTGTTGCTTTGCTCCATTTTCCTTCCTTTTAATGTTGTCTGAGAATACGCACATTGGGCTCAGGTCCTTTATTATTTTGATTTTATGGTGTCTTGTAAGCCCATGCAGGCTGGGCATAACTGTTTACATGACACAATAATAAAAAATCTGTTCATTTGTTTATTCATTGTATCCCCAACCCTGGGATATCATTTTAAGATATAAGTTTAATAGGTGAACACTGTTTATTTATGTAACTTCATTGTGGTGAACTTGGCCTGCATTATGATTAGGAATCATATAAGGATAGGGAATGTAATGATTGTGTAAGAGCTGACAGTGGCTTTACTTCCAGACTTTGCTAATGACTGGAGAAAGCAGTGTGTGTGTAGCAGCCACAGAAGTGTCTCCAGTGACAGCACAGCAGTGTACCCTGTAGCCATTTTACACACAAAAACTGAAATTGCACTTGGTGATATATGCACAGTAATAGATAGATATTATTGGAAACTATTGATGCTTTGGGGCCTAATTACAGAAAAATATCCTAACTGCTCATCTTAATTTAAGTTTCAAAAATAGGAAAAATCCCATCTCCCTATTACAGAAGCAATTACTAAACCCATGGCTGTGTCTTGTCCAATCTCACACCTCCTGTCTTATCTTAAGAAATCCTAACTGTAACTGTAAATTTGATTCTTCAATTGGCACTTCTCCTGTCATACCTGGATAGCTAGCTAGCTATCATTGACAAAAAAGATGTGCCTTAAAAGTTTAGCTATAAGGAGTTGAAGGAACTTATATTGGTGAAGGAGAGGTAACCCCACCTTTTTGTTAAGTTTTCTTCTCAATTATTTAAATGAATGATTAATTCTAATTAAATTTTTGGGGGGCGTGGGCTTTTTGCCTTATTTATTTGACAGGAGAGTTATAGTGTGAAAGGGGGAAGGAGAGAGAGGGAATGACATGCAGCAAAGGGCCGCTGGTTTGAATTGAACCCTCAGTCAATGTGGCAGGGACACAGCCTTTGTACATGGGGTGCCTGCTCTACCAGGCTCTGCCTAGTGGGTACCCCTAGTTTTTTTTTTTTTTTTTAAAGCATCATCATATGGTTTCAAATTTCAAATTTAATCAGTGTATTTTGATGTCCATTGTTTCCCATCTTCATTTCCATGCAGACCTAACAACAGTGCTGCGGCCAATCTTGGCAGATACTTTAAATTTAGGACAAGGTCTGTGCCACCTTAAGGACTCCAAACTTGTGAAATCCCCAAGATAGGATGGTTCTATAATGGCCTAAGATAAGATTGGATTATTTTTCCAAATGTTGCAGGAAACATATTTCTGTAATAACAAAAATCCTAAATGTCATCCTAAAATGACATTGGATAGGATTTCAAATTTAGAAAGTTTCTGTAATGAGGCCCCCAGGTCTGCAGTGCTATTTGATGCCATCTTGTATCTCTACAACTGATGATGATAGTTTAATAAGTAAACATGGTTGAGGTAAAAAAAAAAAAAAAATAAATAAAAAAGAGCCAGACTTTCTTGAATCCTGCCACCTGCCACATCCTGCCATCATCCAGCATTTCAACAGCTGAGCACATGTGTCAGTGTCAAACAGTCCGGCCCTCTGGTCTGTGGTCCGAGGGTGACGAATGTGATGGTAAGACAGTGCTAATGAAATACTAAGCGGGAGTTGATTTAAGATTTTAGTTGGCGTATGTCTTTTATAACTTTCACAACTCCAAAGTCCATCCATCCCCTCCATCCAGGTTAAGAGTCTGGGTGTCATCCTCGACCATTGTCCTTTGAGGGCCACATCAATAATGTGACACAGTCTGCATACTGTCACCTACGAAACATTAACCATCTTCGCCCATCACTTACACCTCACAGCGCAGCCATCCTCATTCATTCTTTGGTTACATCCTGTATTGATTACTGCAATTCTGTCCTCTTTGGTCTTCCTCTCAAGTGTCTTCATAAACTTCAGTTGGTCCAGAATTCAGCTGCCCGTATCATAACCAGAAGCCCCTCCATGGATCATATCACTCCTGTTCTCCGGCACCTTCACTGGCTTCCTGTTAAATATCGCATTGATTTCAAGATTCTGCTTCTCACCTTCAAGGCCCTTCACAATCAAGCCCCTTCCTACCTGTCAGAATTCCTCCATATCTACACACCCTCCCGTACTCTAAGATCCTCTTCTGCACTCCAACTCATATCACCATCTGCCAGCCTGTCTACCATGGGTTCTAGAGCCTTCAGCTGCTCTGATCCCCACCTCTGGAACTCTCTCCCTCACGACATTCGCAATATTGACTCCCTTTCCACTTTCAAATCCCTTCTGAACACACCTTTTCAAGCTGGCATACTCAGTCTGATTTAATAGAGACACACATACTGATGATGCTTTTATTATTTTATACACTACCTAGTGTTTGTAATTATGATTTTGTCTAGTCATTTTATTAACTTTTATTGTATATTACTGAATTGTTTGATCTCTGGATACATTGCTGCTTGTTTTGGTTACTGTGTCTTGTAAAGTGACCTTGAGTGTCTTGAAAGGTGCCTATAAATAAAATGCATTATTATTATTATTATCATTATTAACTGAAAGGTGCTTATGGAATAGCTATGGTTCACTAGCACAAGCAAGGTAACACTGCTTCCTTCAGTTCAACTTCTGCGTTCCTGTCTCCAATATATTCATACACATAGGTCGGAGTTACTGTTACTGGTTTGTTTTTATAAATTCCAACTTTTGCATAAGAAGTGGCATACACCTCTTTTAGGCGACAATTTGTGCGTACGCGACAGTTATAAATGAGACCTCAGCTTTCCTACTTCCCATCATGGACCATGGTCCAAGCTAATGCACTTTAGGGCCATCCTGAGTATTGCAAGGCAGAGCTTCTTCTGTTTCCCCCGCTGATCTTACTGAGCATCACAAAGTCAGTTAATGAGATCTAGTCTCTGGACATCACAGATGTGCTGTTACTTAAATCCTGCAACAACTGATTTTTGGGAGCAGCGGTGAACACATCATTAACATATCACCTGCTAAGTTATGTCGAGTTTCTGGCGGCCTGATGAATGTAAGTCCATTTTTCACTCTATTTTAGCTCTGTTTTTTGTCTCTACCAGCTTCTTTGTCTGCTGATCGATGCCAATCAGGTTCATGTAAAATGGGTTTCAGACCCACTCTGGTTAAACCCTCGAGTCTATGAAAAGATTCTCTGCTGTTCCAAATGTCAGTGGTCTCTAAAATATGTTGTGGTAACATATTCTGACAGATGTGTGTGCCTCTGTATCAGTTAGGGTCCATAAGATCAGAGGTTGAGTGAGACAGGTATCACTTAGTCAAAGAACATCTTCTCTACCAACAACCTCATATTAATGCATGCTGTTTGTGTGTGCAGGGAGTGGTCGAGTTCTCTTTGTGTCTGCTGTTTGCCAAGCTGGTCAGCTACACCTTCCTCTTCTGGCTGCCACTCTACATCACCAAAGCAGGTGAGGACCAAACACAGCTACAACCAGTAATGTCCTTCTGGTTAGTCTGATTCTCCATAGAATTCTAACTAATGAACTAGAAAAATGTCAACATATGATTATTCCATAGAATCCTTGATGTTCAAGACTAAACAATAGCATACTATTCTGTATCTGCTTGTGGCATTGAACATCAAGGACATATTTAAACCCAGGGTGCCCTGTTTTTAGAGCTACATAAACTTTAATTTTCCAGATCACACATGCATCGTGCCCCAAAATTCAATGTGACCTACAGTGCATTCAGAAAGTATTCAGACCCCCCTCACTTTTTTCACTTTTGTTATGTTGCAGCCTGATGCTACAATCACTTAAATTCATCTTTTTCCACATTAATCTACACTCAGTACCCCATAATGACAAAGTGAAAATAGAATTTTAGAAATGTTTGCAAATTTATTAAAAAGGAAAAACTGAAATGTCACATTGGCATAAGTATTCAGACCCTTTACTCAGTACTTAGTTGAAGCACGTTTTGCAGCAATTACAGCCTCTAACCTTTTTGGGTATGACGCAACAAGCTTTGCACATCTGGATTGGGGGATTTTCAGCCATTCTTCTTTGGAAATCCTTTCAAGCCCAATCAGGTTGGATGGGGACCGTCGGTGGACAGCCATTTTCAGGTCTCTCCAGAGATGTTCAATAGAGTTCAAGTCAGGGCTTTGGCTGAGCCACTCCAGAACATTCACAGAGTTGTCTCAAAGCCACTCCTGTGTTATGTAAGGTAATTGTCTTGTTTGAAGGTGAATCTTCAGCCGAGTCTGAGGTCCTGAGCACTGTGGAACAGATTTTCATTGAGGATCTCTCTGTACTTTGCTCCGTCTTCCCTCAATCCTGATCAGTCTCTCAGTTCCTGCTGCAGAAAAACACCCCCACAGCATGATGCTGCCACCACCATGTTTCACTGTTGGGATGGTATTGGGTAGATGATGAGCTGTGCCTGGTTTCCTCCGGACATAACGTTTAGAATTGAGGCCAAACAGTTCAATTTTGGTTTCATCAGACCAGAGAATCTTGTTTCTCACAGTGTGAGAGTCCTTCAGGTGCTTCTTAGCAAACTCCAAGCGGGCTTTCATGTGTTTTGCACTGAGGAGAAGCTTCCGTCTAGCCACTCTGCCATGAAGCCCAGATTGGTGGAAGGCTGCAGTGATGGTTGTCCTTCTGTCTTCCATTTAAGAATTGTGGAGACCACTATGCTCTTGGGAAGGTTCAGTGCAGCATTGAGAGGCACCTGAGCGGAATTTGTTGTTGCAAAGGGTCTGAATACTTAGGCCAATGTGATATTTCAGTTTTTCCTTTTTAATAAATTTGCAAAAAATTCTAAAATTCTATTTTCACTTTGTCATTATGGGGTACTAAGTGTAGATTAATGTGGGAAAAAATGAATTTAAATGATTGGAGCATCAGGCTGCAACATAACAAAAGTGACAAAAGTGAGGGGGATCAGAATATTTTCTGAATGCACTGTTTTTAGGTATCTTTGGAAACTCGGAGATCCCCTCCATAAGACAAAGAAAGTTCCATAGATTTGAACAGTCAGCCAGTCAGGTTCCTCCACACCAAAGTGGAAATCAGTTTCTTTGTAGAGCTGGCTTTGTGCTAGGGGCATTGTTATAGGACTGTCATTCAAATCCAGTTCTAGGTTTGAAACAAATCTTCACTTAATAAAAAGAAAGGGCGCTATATTTTGGCTTTTACTCCAGGACATGTTCCAGCAGGAATCTGATCTAAAATTGGGAGGAAATTTGCAACATCGGCAACCAAGATTACATGTTTCCCTGACGTTAGCATGTAGCTACATGCAGCAGTGTAGGCTACATAATGTAAACACTTGAAGCAGCGTGACTGCAGTAGATCCGGCACATTATGACATCATACTTAAGTCGATTGGAAAGGGAGTGTTCAAAACGGAAGGAAACCAGAGGTTTTTACCTCTTTACTCGAAACTTTGGCCATGTTGATTTTGAACATACTTCACAACACAAAATAGGACACAAAATATGGAAAAGCATAGTAGGTCCCCCTGAAATACCCATCATCAAGACTTGAACTAATGTGGAGACAGAGTTAAGCAGGCCTTTCACTTAGCATCTTTATACAGTATTGCAACATTATTTGTAATATGATCACCAAGATGACGCAGTACCTCAGCCTGTCAGCTCTCTGTGGCTGCCTGAGTAATGTCACATTGTTATTGTGCCGTATAGTGTGAAGGCAGACCAACCCTCACATTTTACTACCACCGCTCATGTGTCAGACAGAAGACTGTGTCACAAACAGTAAATTAATTGTGTTTCTTTGTGTGTGTGTGTGTGTGTGTCTGTGTGTCTGTGTGTGTGTCTGTGTTTGTCACAGCTCATCTAGATGCCAAGAAGGCTGGAGATCTCTCCACCCTGTTTGATGTGGGAGGAATAGTGGGTAGGTGCTTTTGTTTACATTTTCCTTGTATCCTTTGTGTGTGCGTGTGTGTGTGTGTGGGCGCGGGCAGGCAGGCGGGCATGTGATTTTTCTTCCCACACTCACTTACTCCACTCACTGTCACTTACTTAGAATTTAGTTCTGTGCATTATGGTTAGTATGAAAGACATTATCCTGGCTCATTGGCTCTCTCTTTTTTTGTGCATGTATGAACCCACAGGTGGGATCTTGGCAGGAGTGATATCTGATAAACTGGGGAAGAGAGCCACCACCTGTGCAGTCATGCTGCTGCTGGCTGCTCCCACAGTAAGTTTCCACTGCACTGCTACGCTCATCCACAGTCCAAAGTCAGAGTCAAGACATCTGGCTCAGTGACTTCTAGCACTTCTTCATTAGGTCTATTTCACTATTCTGTGGCAAGTAGCATGATAGACACCAGCCGGGAACAGAAATGATTGATAAATAGATCAGGAGCCTGCTGAAAGTGTTTGTGCCTCTTTTTGCATCAGCTCCCCCTGCTGTGTGCCACTTTAAGCAAGCCAAATGTGTGTCTTTGTTTGAACTAGAACACTGCCAGGTTACACAGCATCTGTTGTTTATGATATACACAAAGAAGACCAGGCATATTTTCTAGTTTCTGATAATTAAAAAAACAAAATCCAGATATGCTCTTTGCACTTCAGCTGAATGTAACAGGCTGCTGCTAATGTCTTTAGACATGTGAATTATGAATGTGTGTTTATGCTTTCTCTTTGTGCTGCAGCTGTATGGCTTCTCCATGATCAGTGAGTTTGGGCTGGGGCCAACCATTGGTAAGAACCAATTCTCATAACATTTTTCTGGTTCTCAGATGTGAAAAGTGAGGTTTTCTGAATATAATGAATAGCTTTGGGTTTTTGGGTCCATTGATCAGACAAAATGAAATATCTGAAATAACCACTTAGTGTTTGAGGACTTTGTGTCAGCCATTTGTTGTTTTTGACATTTTATAAGCCACGATTCATCAGTTAAAGAAAACAGTGACATAATGTGTGTAAACAAACATTTAAAGGGTTTTTTTTAGTAACAGGCCTAGTTAATGCCTAACCAATATAGTTTGAAATGTAGGGCATTGGTGGCTTAGTGGGTAAAGCAGGTGTCCCATGTACAAGACTGTTGCTGCAGCGGCCCGGGTTCGAATCCAGCCTGTGGCCCTTTGCTGCATGTCATCCCCCCTCTCTCTCTCTCCCCCTCTCACACTTACCTGTCCTGTCCATTAAAGGCAAAATTCCCCCAAAAAATGTCTTTAAAAAAATAATTTGAAATGTGTGTTTAACCCACGGATGTAAACATGTTCTGTATCCAGGCAGTCTATTGATTCTTGTTCTAAAATGTTTCTATTTCTTTTGACTGAGGTCTCTTTAACACTGTCTTAGAGTTATATTGCATCAACACAAAACACTAGGGGTGCACGTTATGAATATTTTACAGCCGATGCCAATTTTACCTGCTTCTAATGGTCAATATTGATAAGATAACCAATTATTTTACATTTTTATGCCTTGGCACCAATGATAGTTGAGGCCAGAGGCATTATGTTTTCGGCTTTGTCTGTTCATATATACGTCCCATTCTCATGAACGTGATTTCTCAGGAATGCCTTTAGGGATTTTTTTCAACTTTGGCACAACTGTTCACTTGGACTCAACAAAGAACTGATTAGAATTTGGTGGTCAAATGTCAAGGTCACTCTGACCTTACAAAACATGTTTCCGGCCAAAACTCAACAATTCACACTCTAATTTTGACAATATTTCACCCAAAAGTGATCTATTTTTTCTAGTAAAGTATATTCAGAAAAATTCCCCAAACAAACTTTGTTTTTTTTAGAGCATTTTGCCTAAAACTTACAATTGAGTGCAATCAGCATAGTGTGTCAAAACAGACATGTCAGTGGGTTATTGAGCCTTTTTGCTGTGAGTTTGTTTGGACCGTTAAAAGGCGCGTTGTTGGATTTGAGCTGTTGCTGCTGTGTGAACTCATGCTAACCTGGCGGACACTGACCATTTGCAGGAAAGACAGCAGCTCTGAAGACAGTCCTGCGGCATGTCTAACCCATAGATTTTAATAATACCTAGATACTGGACCCCAAGATAGACCTGGTCATTCCAATGGAGTTGCTTGCCTGGTGCATACACCAAAAAACATTTTCAAGCTTCTAGGTTTACTTCTGCTCAATGTGGCCCACTGAATATGTGCCCAACCTGCAAGTTCCTATTCGGTGGATAGACTTTACATTGTGATGGAGTCATGGATTTTTAAAACTCTTTTCTCAGCTTGAGAAAGGTTTTACAAATATAAAACCACCGTGGATCAAAAAATTCAGAATAAAAGTCATATTCTGTCATGTCTGTCATAATTGACACATTGCAGTTTGAGGTGTCCTGTCAACAGTTTTACATAAATGTATTTTACAGTGGTGGCCTATGGGGAAAATGCTTTTTGGGCTGCAGGGAATTTTTTTGCTGCACTGCAAGTTGCACTGAGAAAAATTGGCTGCAAGGATGAACTAGGATTCCTGGTTTTCTGATGTGGTGGGGACTCATGTGGTGGAGGTCAGATCGTCGGCACTATCATGTTGTCTTCCTCTGAAGCTGTGCAAGCCATCCACACTAGCAACATGTTTGGTTCTCTAGTCAGCATGCTGCACTTGTTGTTATTCTTTTTCTATGTGTACTGCCATCTACTGTGTCAGGGTGTGTTGATGCTGCCTCACAATGTGCTGGAGGGGATCAGTAAATGTCAGTGATACAGTATGATACAGCTGAGGATGAGCAGCAGTATAATTATCAGAACGCACACTGACATCTGGGGAAGCATGTCTGCTCCATGTCTACACCACGTTGTTCCAGACCAAAGTAGTATTATATTTATCAAAAATCTGCATATTTTCAGCTTGAGGTGCACAACTCAGTTACATTAGAGCACAGGTGGCTGTAGGAAATCCATAACTGAAAACCAAGGTAAAACTAATCAGTCTGTGTTTCCCAGGCATGCTGTTAGTGTGTGGAGGCCTAGTCAATGGACCATACGCCCTCATCACAACCGCAGTGTCTGCTGATTTGGTAAGCATGTTTAACTCTAATTCCAGACTACTAAATTCGTACCTCACTGTTAACTCAATATGCACGTGCCCCCTCACTCATACCTCTCTGTTTTGACGTTTGACCCTAGGGGACCCACAAAAGCCTGAAAGGCAATGCCAGAGCATTGTCTACTGTCACTGCCATCATCGATGGCACAGGATCTGTAGGTCAGTGTCACTGATTGACAGACATTTAATTTCCTTTACTGAAACACACACAATAAAGAAGCCAGCATACACATTTATAGGCCCCTTTTACATTGCCTGTTCAAGACAGGAAAATGGGGCCTTTATGCCACCTTGCTGTTCTGTGTTAAGGTACAGTTGCGGAATGAGGGGACAGAGGTTTCTCACCTCTGAGCCAGCAATGGCGGTAGTAACAGCCCTGAAACGAGGTCTGTGTAAAAGGAACAGCTGTCAGGATGCGACTATAGGTGGGGCGAGTGTGACATTTTCATTACTTATTATGTTGCTGACCCACCACCGGGGGATTAAAAGTTGCGAGCAGCAGATATTAGGCAACTTAACTTAGCAGAGGAAGAAGCTAGCAGCTAACATCTAAATCAAATCAAATCAACTTTATTTATATGGCACTTTTCATACAACAGTAACACAAAGTGCCTCACAGAGGTTAAAAACAGCAAAGAACCAAAACAGAAAACAAAAAAGAAAAGAGAAAACCCACCCCACATAGAGATACATAAATATACACATGCACACACACACACACACACACACACACACACAAGCTCACACCCACACACACTAGCTATCACTAAAGAGACATGGCCGAGCACCGAGACCTGAGTCAAGGAAAAAGCCACATCTGGGGGCCGTCCACACTGAGAAAGCCCACGGTCCACGGCCACAGGGAGTGCCGCCGCAGAGACCACCCCAACCCAGGCAGACAGGTGGCTCCACACCGAGATGCAGTGCCCTTCAGCCACCCAGGTCAGAGCTGTCCACGGGACAGCACCCCCATCGGTAGACCAGGAACAACTCTCAGTGTGGTAGGCCCCCATGAGGAAACACTGGGGCTAAAAACTGAGGGACTAAAACAGTAGGATAGGACAAAAGGTATAAAATTAACCAAATAAACAAAAAGCTATTTAGCTCATAAAATTAAGTTAATAGCTAGGTAAGAATGATCTAAAAGAGACATAAAATGCATCAAAACTAAAACCTATAACTAAAATAACAAAAGATAAAGATTAAATGAGATAAGAACGTAAAAAGAGGAAGTGTAAGAGCATTTAAAAAAAAACAACAAAAACAAATAGATAAATCGGTTAAAAGCCTGATAAAAGGAATTTAAAATAGATAAATAAAGAGATCAGTTAAAAGCCTGATTAAAAAGATGAGCCTTGAGCCTCTTTTTAAAAACATCAACAGTCTCTGCAGCCCTGAGGTTCTCCAGCGGCCTGTTCCACAATCAGGGGGCCATAATAACTAAATGCCGCCTCCCCGTGTGTTTTAGTCCTAACTTGTGGTATGGTTAAAAGGCCTGTGCCGGAGGACCTCAGGGTCCGCGAGGGTTGATATGGTAAAAGCAGGTCAGATAAATAAGAAGGCCCAAGACTGTTAAGACATCTAAAAACTAATAAAAGAACCTTAAAAGCGCACGGGGAGCCAATGCAGCGATTTTAAAACTGGTGTAATGTGCTCCCGCCCTCTGGTCCTTGTCAGCACTCGTGCATCTGAATTCTGTAATAATTGTAGATTTGAGATGCTCTTTTTTGGAAGACCAGAGAGCAGGGCAATACAATAATCTAACCTGCAGGAGATAAAAGCATGCATCAGCACCTCCGTGTTGGCCTGAGAGAGAAACGGGCGGACTCTGGCTATATTTTTAAGGTGGTAGAAACCTACCTTTGTTATGTTTTTAATATGTGGAATAAAACAGAGCTCAGAGTCAAAAATCACACCCAGATTTTTTAGAGATTGTGTTGGTTTAAAATCTTGTAGTTTTGGTAAAAGTTTCTCTCTCTCTGGCCTTCAGGACCAATGACTAAAACCTCTGTTTTGTCCTGGTTGAGATGCAGGAAATTCACTGCTATCCATGACTTTATGTCTAAAATGCAGTTAAAAAGGGCATCAATTGGCCCTGTGTCATCAGGAGACACGGCGATGTACAGTTGCGTATCATCAGCATAACTTTGAAAGCTGATGCCGTGCCTCCTGATGACGTCTCCCAGGGGAAGCATGTAGAGATTAAAAAGAGTTGGACCTAAAATTGACTCCTGGGGAACTTCCTGAGGAACAAGTATCCATACTTACAAAGAAGTGTCAATCAGTAAGGTAAGAGACGAACCAGTTAAAAACAGTACCAGAGAGGCCGACCAGGTGCCTCAGTCTATTTCATAAAATGTGATGGTCTACTGTATCGAAGGCGACAGTTAGATCCAGTAAAACCAAGACTATGAGTTTATCGTTATCTGAATTGCACCTGATGTCGTTTCAAATCTTTAAAAGGGCTGTCTCAGTACTGTGGTTCATCCTAAAACCAGACTGATACTTCTCTAAAGTGTTATTTGTATTTAAAAAATCATTTACTTGGGTAAAAACCAGTTTTTCTAAAATTTTGCTCAAAAATGGTAAGTTGGATACAGGCCAATAATTATTAAAAATCAATCAATCAGTCAATTTTATTTATAAAGCCCAATATCACAAATCACAATTTGCCTCACAGGGCTTTACAGCATACGGCATCCCTCTGTCCTTAGGACCCTCACAGCTGATCAGGAAAAACTCCCCAAAAAACCCCCTTTAATGGGGGAAAAAAACGGTAGAAACCTCAGGAAGAGCAACTGAGGAGGTATCCCTCTTCCAGGACGGACAGACGTGCAATAGATGTCGTACACAAAAACGTTGGGGTCTAAATTGCTCTTCTTCAGAAGGGGCTTCACCACTGCCATTTTCAAGGAGGTCGGGAAGACACCCGTCTGAACAGAGCAATTCACCGTGTACAGTAGCTGTTCCTCAAAGAATCCATAAAATGTTTTAAAAGACGGTGTGGGAATTGGGTCTAAAAGCCAGGTTGTGGGCTTTACTTGGGAGAAAACTCCAACTCGACCAATCTGTTGAGATAAATGACTGGTTCTGATGTCATTGATTTTACTTCTGACGTGGTCTGCAAATTCCTAACAAAGGGCATTGGTTGTTGTCTTAGGCGATCTGTTAAAATTACTTTGTTAAAATATCAATTGTGAAGAAGAGGAATTTGGGATTGTTTTTATTGTCAGATTAGTTTTTTGAAGTGGGAAATTCTTGCCTGTTTGACTGCGTTATTGTAGGTTTTGAGATGTTGACGTAATATTTCGAAGTGGACTGTTAGTTTTGATTTTCTCCATCTCCTCTCAGCACTCCTGCAGTATCTTTTCAGTTGTTTGATTTCCTTAAACTACATGCACGAATGACTGCAAATTGGGGAGAAAATGAGGTCCAGGAGCTTCTTACTCTCCAAGCAGAAGACGAAATCATACCGCCATAAAACAGATGGTGAGGGATGGGCCTTTACTAGAAAGGCTGGCAAGTAAGCTTCAAGAGCAAAACCATAGAAACACAATATGACCATCTATCATGCAAATTTACCAAAGGACAATATTAAAACTACTGGATGTTTAAGGCTGTTGTTATCCAAAATGTTTCTAGCTGTCAGCAAAATACATAAAAAGAAACAAACCAACACTTTGTTAGTCCTTCTCTTCATACTTTTTAAAATTCTCTATCCTGTCTGTAGCACTCAGCCCAAGTCGACTGGTTCCACTAGAGACGTAAATCTTTTAAGAAAACAAAACACAAAAAACATATAATATTAAGTTGTTAAAAGGCTTAGTAATTTCCTTAAAAAGCTCGTCACTGTCGTTTTCATCAAATGTTACTTAAACAGAAGAAAACAGTGCATTTATTCAGAGCTAATTTTAGCAGTGGATTAATCCACATTTGGTGCTCTAGTTAGTAGAGCTGTAGACTCCTGGTCGACCAGTCGATTATTTGGTCGCTATGCTCTCATCTGACCAAATTCTCATTAGTCGAATAATCGCTGTGTTACTTTAATAAGGAGAAAAGTGCTACATCAACAGCTTTCCAGGATTAATCCATTATTTCCTGCGGAGGGGGGACAGGCAAAGTTACCTGTGAAAATGAGGTTGTTTTCAAAACACCCCCGTTGTTGACAGAAAGTTGAACTCGCCCACCCTCATGCTCAGCATCGCGGTGACGCAGACCTCCTGTCTGTTTCTGTAAGCTGAAACCATTTCCCTCAGTGGAAACGAAGCTTGTATTTACTTGTATTTCACAGATAAGAAACAATAAATTGTGAAGACAGTAAAGCCTCCACTAAAATAGCGTTTTAAGTCGTGTGTGATTTATCCTTCAGGGATTTCTCCTGGCTTCATATGAGCAGAGGAAATCTACGCTCGTCGCTAGGCTAATGTATACAATGTAAAATGCCATAGGCTGGCGCTAATAACGTTAGCATGTTGTATTTACTTGGAAAACGTGTTTAGTATAAGACAGTTGTTTTGTCTGTGAATGTTGTGGGTTGTAATGGAGCCAAATTATGTGCTGTTACCTTTGTTAGATGTTGCTGTTGTCCCTGGTTTTATATGAGAACAGGAAAAGATCACTAGACGCTAGGCTAGTTTATACAGTGTAAAACACCATAGACTTGTGCTAATAACGTTAGCATGTTGTATTAGTGGAAATGTGTCCAGATAAAGACAAGTGTTTGTCTGTCAATGCTGCGATTTATAGTGAAGCCAATTTGCATACTCGTAATCCCTATTAAGTAGGGATGCACCGAATATTCGGTAACCGAATATATTCGGCCGAATATTCGGAATTGCAAAAAAACACACATTCGGTATTTGGTGGAATAAGTGAAAAGCAAGGCCAAATAATAGCGGCTTGTTTTGATAATGCAATCAAACAGAGTGCGGTGACGGACGGAGTAAAATGTCGGCAGTGTGGCGATATTTTAATCCGTCCGTCACTGCACTCGCATTTGCGACTAAAAATAGTTTTGTGCGGGCAAAATAAATCATTCAGCAGGCTGTGTGAGTACAGATTTCAACCAGCAGCAGAAACGAAACGGTGCATCCCTACTATTAAGCCATATTTAATGTGTGTTTTGAATCAACTATATAAATGAAGTTTGATTTGAACTAAACTTTACAGCACTTAACACAGTCCTCCACCCCTGACTAGTGCTTTGGAGGTGTAACTGCAGAGTGACAGACACACCACCACAGAAGTAAAAATAACGTGCAGCTTTTTTAAAAAAAAATTTCCACGACTAATCGATTAGTTTAAGATTATGTGCGATTTTAGTCGACCAAGATTTTCTTTGGTTGACTACAGCCCTACTAGTTAGTATTTGGGGCTGCAGGACAGTGTACATTAGCCTGGTGAAACCATCCTAATCTCACGAGCTCATATTCTGTTTCGTTCTGCAGATCAGTCTGGCCATATAATCATTAAGGCGCATTCTGGCATCGGTTAAAGCTTACCAGGCCAATCACAACTGTTTATTACTTTGGGGCGGGCATGTCATCAGAATAGGAGGGACAAGGAGCGGAGTGAATGCATTTCGTAAACAACCAACATGGCTACTGATTTTGAAACTGCGAAGGTAAATGTGTCGAATGAACTGGCATGTACATTTTCTTTAAAAGCAGAGCAAACGGCTGCACTGGAAGCTTTTATTGAAAAAAAGGATGTGTTTGCCGTCCTTCCTACGGGGTTTGGTAAACGTTTAATTTACCAACTGGCTCCGTTGATCGGGAAAAAGATGGGACTCAGTGAAAACCCAGTGGCTATTTGTTGTGTGTGTGCTAAGTGTTGTTTCTGTGCTAGTTGCTCTCATGGATGAGCAGGTCAGGGAAGCGACCAAGCTGGGAATCACAGCCATGCAACTCGGAGTCCACAGTGAGGAGGAAATCTGCAAAGACAGCAACACTCTTTCTCAGACATCATCACAGCTTATCTCCGCTGCAGCTTGCTGGTCTGTTTACAGTGGCGTTGTGCTAGCCTACGTCACACGTTTCGTTTACTCTGATTGGTTTTCCGTCTTTCCAGTTGCGTGAAGGGGCACTTTGAGTGACAGCCGTTGATACCGCCCCTCTGAAATAGAGGAAATGTACACTCCGTGTCCAAACCCATTCGCGTTTTGCGAATTGGGTCTGGCAACACCAGGCTAAGTGTTTATGGGATTGAGTCAAAATAAACTACTGTGTGTGTGTGTCTATGGTAATGAAGGAACATGTCACCCAGGTAGGGGTGTGCCATATCTTTTTTACAATAATACTGGTATGATTTTTAATATCATATGAAAAATTAATTTCGCGATACTCTGATATTTCAACTTGTTGGCATATTGATGTCATACTGTTACCCACGGCAACGACAAGCATGGCTGTTAAGTATTATTATTATTATTACCAACTTTGCGGTGGTTCCAAACAAAGAAGCAGCTTCAGTAGTGTGAAACAAACGATGGCGTCCTGAAGGTTTTATGAACAGCCCTGGACTTCTCAGACTCTCTTAAGCTACTTACCGCTTAGAGGGAACTCATTCAGCGGCTGCTCCAGCAGCAGCACAGCGTCTCACAGCAGTCAGTGTCTCAAGTGATTTTGTCATAAACTTTTGGTAATGTAAACTTATGTGCCACTCGTAGCTCGACAAAAAACTACATATGTGAATGTGCAATAGTTATCATATCAGAACAGCCTGTTACATGTTACAGCGTGACAATTAGAGGAGAAATGGCAGAGCATAAAGGTCCAGGTTGAAAAAAACGCAATAGGAAATCACCTGTTGATTTATATACATAGATTCCAGGGTACATTTTTTGTATTTGTACTTTTTGTATTTGTTGTACTATTAATATTGTATACAGAATCTCAATCACACTCTTGAGTTACTGTTGATGTTTACAAACTAAAGAATTAAGAGATCATTTTAGTTCAGTTTTTACTGAATATTTGAAGGCAAACTGTTTGACTGGCATGTAAAACTGTATAACGTATTTTGTTGCAATTCTATTTTCTTAAATTAGTAATAAAATATATATTTTTTACTAATTTGTCAAGAATATTGTTATTGCAAAAATACCCTGAAATATCGTGATATTTTTTAGGGAGATATCGCCCATTCCAACACCCAGTGCAACAATCTGGCTCACTGATGTGTTTTTACGAGTTTTTGGACAACAATGGAGCTCTATGGCACAAAGGAATTGGGAAATTAGACATAAAATTTCACCACCGTCATCTCTTATTTATATGTTTAGTAGTGATCATGTCTGTTATTTATCAATTAAATGTATAATTAACCATTAAATGTAAGATTCACTTGTAGTTCAACCTGTCCCAGATCCTTACAGATTGGTCATTCAAGTGTTGTCATGCTGCTTGTGTTAATGCTGTCAGGTGCAGCACTGGGCCCCCTGCTGGCTGGGCTGTTGTCTGCAGGCGGCTGGGATCAGGTCTTCTACATGCTGATGACTGCTGACTTCCTTGCTCTGTTGGTGAGTGCTTAAAAAACATAAACAACAGGAATTATCACTAACAATAATAGTAGTAGTTCTAAATGCTTGTCATGAAGCTGTCATTAAGCTGTTGCACCAAACAACACTCTTAAATCAAACTACTGTCCTACTCATAGTGATGCCACAATATGTGCGTGTGTGTGTGTGTGTGTGTGCGTGTTTGTGTGTGTGTGTGTGTGTGTGTGTGTGTGTGTGCAGCTTCTGCTACGGCTTGTGACAAAGGAGCTGACCTCAACTAAATCCCGTCCCATCTCCACTGTAGAGTGAGTCCTGCTTGTCTCCTGCTCTTCATTTGACTCAGCATGCTGTTTCTGTTGGATGTTCTTGCTTTCCTTCCAGTCCTTTACACCCTATATCTCACAGATCCACATTGTGGATAATTTTGATTTTATATTTGAATGTTGGGCTGTGGTTTCAAAAAAGTTTTCTTCACTACAGTACATTGAAAACTAGTATTAGCTAAATGTTTATTTTCACAGAATCATTACGGTACGTGCTTGCAGCGTTTATCCTGTAAATTAAATTTTTTCCAGCTATTAGTACTAATAGTAATAGTAGCATCCCTGTAAGACACAAGAGTGACAAGTAGGATTTGCAGGAATTTGGTAGTTAATGTAAGCAATATAAAAAAGTATTTTCTCTCAGACATTTGTCATCATTAAAGTCGCCGTTATATATATATATATGCAGCAAGCAGCAAATACCTTTGATTCTACTATTCTGTCATTTTCAGTTTCATTAATAAGATGATGGCAGAATTGTCTGGTTTTGAACTAGTTATTTGAATAGACATGAATACCATTTTGGATCAAAGTTCTGCATCGGGTCAGGTACCCGTGGATGGATGGTATTTTGTCTGTAAAGGCAAACCACAGACACAACACACCAACTTCAGTGAACTAGTGGTCCCCTGCTGTTTCGCCACCGACAGTTGACCAGCATGTACGTTCTGCACTTTTGTGAGGAAATACATCTCCATACCAGCAGACACCAGTAGTCTGTAATTACCATTCAAAAAAGGGAAACTGGAAGATGGTCTTGGCGCTAGTTAGCCAGTTGGCGCATTAACAAAACAGTTCAGTGTTGAAAGAGCAGAGCATATTTACCATGCATCAGTCAACAATAACACAAACCATCAGGAAATGTTTCTGCGTAAGAGCTCAGTGGATGAAGAAAAATAATCTGACCTTATGGAATAATTTTGTTTTGGTCTCACTCCCTCTTGACTTAAGCTCTTTGTTTACTTTCCTCGCTTCTGTTTCTCTCCTCGTGTTGAGCTGAACTGACAATCAGTGATTTCATTCACCCATGGGCTCCGCCGTCTCCAACGGCTGAATCAGCGATAAAAAAATGTCAAGGGCCAACGGTGCGGGACGCACTGCAGCGACAAGGGCCATGGACGCTCACTGATTGACCAATGACCGACCAACAGCTTGCTGTGTTAGGGCCTATAAAGGGATTGATTTTTTAAAGTAGTGTTGTATGAGGTACTTATTCAGGGCAGTCGTCACGCCCCCAGTTTGGAGAAGCAGGCTGGAGTCCAATATAAATACTAAGCAATATACTGCTGTGGAGGGGTCAGCAACAAAATGTTATTTAGCCACCTAAAAAACTCTATAACAGATTAAGTGTACATTAGATTGAGACTATTTGTACTGCTTTACCTTTCTGCCAGAAAACATGTTCCAATGGGAAAATTGTTATTGGTTTCAGATCCACATCTATGCTCTCATCAGAGCCACCAGAATCCATTGACAAAAACTAGAGCACTCGGAGAGCGCGAGAGCGCAGACCTCCGCCAAGCAGCTCAGATTTCCCATCATTTTATTATTTTATCCACTTCGTTTCAACCGATCACCACCAAAATTTTATCATCTGTTCGTTGTCCCATTATCAACCTTTCCTGAAGATTTCATCAAAATTCGTTCAAAACTTGCTTCGGATCAAAGAGATGCGCCCTGTCACTGTCAGCGCAGGGCTGACAGGGCACCCTCTGCTGAGAAGAGAGAGAGAGGAGAGGAGAGGAGAGGAGAGGAGAGGAGAGGAGATGGATTGTAGGTCTGTTTGTAAACGGGGCTTCTCAGACCGTCATGGATTTCCCCAAAAAACATCTCTTAATGCACGGTAGAGCGCTGTTTTTTTTTTTTTTTTTTCCAAAATCGCCTTGACATCCAGTAAATCGCCTGGCAACCCTCCAATCGCCAATATAAAGTGCCGAAGCCACACCCCTTCCGGTGAAGCTCATGGGACCTTAGATCTGAAAAAATATGAATGGCAGTGAATGAGGAGAGAAATATTATTTTTTGGTCCTGTTTGAATTGTGACATGAAATCCAAATATGTCGTTAATGAATTTAAAACATAAATTTTAAGGTCAAGAAAGTCATACTTTGTGGTAAAACTGTTGAGATATAAGCTTGTGAAAAAAACGTAATTAGAAAAACTACACAGGAAGTGGTCGCGTATGTGACGTCATAGCTTTCGCTCGCTTCCTGCAGCTTGGAGTGACTGCAACCTGGCACAAAACACACAGACATCTTCAATCATAAATCGATTAATCATAAAACAGTGGAATTTCAGCTGCAGGAAGTGAGCGAAAGCTATGACGTCACATATGCGACCTCCTCCTGTGTACTCTTGAGTCTTTCTAATTAAAAAGCTTATATATCAAGTTTTACCACAAAGTATGACTTTTTTGAGCTTAAAATTTATGTTTTAAATTCATTAACAACATATTTAGATTTCATGTCGCAGCTCAAATGGGAACAAAAGATAATATTGCTCTCCCCATTCACTGCCATTCATATTTTTTCCGATCTAAGGTTCCATGAGCTCTACCGGAAGGGGCGTGACTTCGGCACTCTATACAATTTGATCGCTGATCATCCCAGGCCTACTGAACACAGAAGCTGCTGGTCAACTGACATCTACTGTATGTAATGTCTATGGATAAGTACCCCATACAACCCCACCTCAAAAAATCCAAATTATCCCTTTAATTTTACTTCCTGGTTCAGTTCTGGGTTAAACAAAGAACACACAGGTTTGGATCATGGGTGTTGGATAATAAAAATAATGAAATAAGATAGTAATGATAATAATAATAATGGTAATTTAATATATTTTCTTGACATTTTAATCCTCTGACTGCTTGCTCGGCTCTGTCTTCTGCATCAGCTGGAATATGAGAGCTGCTTCAATTAGATGCTTCACTAACAGGCTCTTTAACTGTGGAGATGTGCTGCTTAATATGAGAATAAGCCAAAAAAAAAAAAAATTGATTTAAATCTCCTGAATTACTGTAGCTTTGAAATATTTTATCTTAGTTTCACTTGTTTATAAAATGTTCCGATAGGATCTCTTTAAATGTGCTGCCTAAACAAGTTATTTGATCATTGCATGGTTATTATAGGATTTGCAGTTCCAGATCAGGCCATGGAGTCGGGTTGTAGACAAATTGGTCATATGTCAAGTTGCTGGTGTGGGAGCGGGTCTTGAATATCGGACCAGTGCAGGACACTGTTATGGATGTTCTTGGTTGACTGAAAATTTACAGGGTTATTTTCAAGTGCCACTAGATGGCGACTCATTCTATCTTTACTACAGGACATTGCTTTTTGTGAACAGTTTCAGTTTGAATTGCATGTCTTTATTGAGATCAATAGATCATCAGTGGAAGATGCAGGAATCATTTTGGATTCAGTGAAAGATAAGATGAATTAGGGACGTCTAAATAAAGTCTATGTACTAGAAACATTATTGTCCTGTCTCAAGCAGTCTCAGTAGGCACATTTTATTTCATTAACCTGAAGTGAAGGCAGATCACAAAAATGTTTTGACAGAAACACAGAATGAAATGCATACATGAAAAAGATTTAATCAATGTTATTGTGGTAGCCATCCCAGTCATTTCCTGGCAAATAAATAAAAGGTGAAGGATTACTCTTCTGATATACTAGCAGCAGAGTTCTTCAACAGAGAATGAAGAAAGCTACGGGACTGGCTGCCATCTAGCCAAGGGTTCGTGTAAAAATGTGGGATTTTATAGCACCTCCACTTTTGGATAGGGTGCTTTGGGAGTAATGGAAAAGGCTGCCTCAGTTACTTTACTATTGAAAAAATATAAAGATCCTTCCTTCTGTGCTCATTAACATCCTTCATTACTGTGGAATGCAGATGTTGAATTATTTTAAAAAACTTTATCAGATGAACCAATGTTCTGAAGCTAGAACACAAAATGTGACAATAATTAATAGTTTGATTTATGTACTTAAAAAAAATTTTAAAAGAAAAAAAAGAACAGCGTTCCTTTGTGGGCAACAAGTTCAGTTCTCATATACCTCATTGCTCTACACTATAAAACTTAATGACACTCAACTCAATGGTGTTAATGTTTGTCTCTGCTTCACAGGTTGAAGGAACACTGAGCACTTTGATTGCACTGCCTCCACGCAGGAGATCACATACACACACATATGCTCACACACCCACACACACAGCAATGAAACCACTTGTCTTAGCCTGAATTGGACTGTGGCTCTGACTGTCCTGGACATGAGATATTTACCACACACACACACACACACACACACACACACACAGGCACATGTCAACAAAGCAACGTGTGTGTGTGTGTGTGTGTGCATTGCCAGCTACAGTAGTTAAATAGACTGTATTTGCATCCCTGAGGAAGAGCTCAGGCTCAAGTTCTGGCTGGTGGACCAAAAAGACCTGCAGCAGATCTCTGTGTGGAGGATTCAGAAATGCACAAATATTCAACTTCTCTCCTTCTGTTGACCTATGGCAGCCAGGTAGAGCTTGAACACACTACCTGCTTGTCTCCTCAAAGGACTGGCACAGATATGAAACTAGCCTTACTTTGACATGTATAATAGAGCTAGAAGTGACAGCTATTTATTTTGGATAGCAATCTTTGAAAAAGCAACTTCCATGAGACTGTGTCCTTGCGGATCCTGCTGTAGTTGTCCACCTATTTTTAATCCCTTAGCTAACCATAACATCTCTGAGCTAAACAGTCAATTTTATATCTAAATCTAACCATCTCAACTATTATACCTATTTACATATTTTATCTTTGAACCATGTTGTGCTCATTGGTGGTTTGAAAAAACAGCCGAGCCAGTCAGAGCTTTTATAAATATAACTTGTTAGTTAACAAGAAAACGCCACAGTGCACCTTTAAAGGGTCAGTTCACTCAAATTTAAGAGTTCTGCCTCCACTCCAGTACAATGGGGCTGATTTAAATTCTTTTTGTGGTTCAACAGCAATCTTTCCAGACATACTGCCTGTTATTTTAGATAATCCACAGAAGACACTGTCAAGTTTTTATAGGGACTATGTCTGAAAAAGAAAGTAGTTCAACCAAAACTACTAGTGTTGTGCATTATCTAGAATACCAGGAACACTGTTTCTGTATGTTTCTATTGACATTTGTAAATGTCGTATTTTAATGCTTTGAAAAAATCAAATTTTGATTGAATTGGGGTGGAGACAGGACTCTCTGCTTGGACAAATAAAGCCAAACCTGTGTAGATGGATGGATGCCACTAGAGAGTGGTGTAAAATTATAATTGTAATTTATGCCAACTGACCCTTTAACTTGAATAAAAAATAAATTAAAAACAAAACACTGGTATCTTCTTATGTTTACACCAGGCAGCAACCTTTGAGGCTGAAAAATGAAGCAGGTGTGGAAGTGCCAAAAACTGCAGTTTACTGAACGGCCACTTGAGGCCGGCTCCCAAACAGAGTCTATCCCCAAAGATCCCCATGTTAAAATGCCCAGCTTTACAGCAGAAATAAACATTTTTACATCCTGGAAGAAAAAACTGTTTTAGACTCTATAGCTAATTTCATCATTCATGACAACTGTACATGCATGACTAATAACTCACCTGTTCACATTTTAATAAGGCCCAAAGTAACTCATAAATAAGGTCAGGGCAGCTTAAGTGACAGGCTGTCTGCAGATATTGTCCTTCCTCAGCTTCTCATTCAGATGCCAAACTAGGGGCTTCAAAACGGCAGTCCACAGACCAATGGGTGACAGTAGCTACATCCATTATTTACAGTCCATGGTTCACACTATTAAGCTAGTGTTTTGTTTTGTTTTTTTAAATTCTGTTTCGATGTGATATGACAGTCCTAGATGAAATTTTCTCTCTTTACCATTTATATTAATGTTGTCCTTTGGTCAAATAAAGAGTATTTTTTTTAATAAAAAGAAAGAAATGAACTGTCCAGCTGAAAAACTGCTCTCGGTAAACACATGAGTTTGTCAGAGGGGTGCTGGACCTAAATTCTGGGTGAAGCTGTATGTGTAAAAGGAACACAGACCAACAACAACAATAGACAACTCGCCTCTTTTGTGGAAGTTGCTGTTTCACTGTCACCTTTGCCTTACTGAACCAAAGAGATTGCGGGGATCATGTTGTAATTTAAGTAAGAGACTACCTATTTTGAAAGTCATTTAAGTTATTCCTGTTGGTTATGTGGTGGTTTCTTTTTTTTCCTTGAATTTGTTTGTAAAATTATGGCACCAAAGTTGTATTTTTATATCAGAGCTACAGATGATAATGTATGTTTTTCTGTGGATGGGATCTGAGATATTGTGAATGTAAATTTCTTCAAATTAGATTACTTAAGTTTTCAAACCTCATATGGATATATTTTGCAGTGCAATGTTGATAAGTTAGGTTTGTGTTTATGATAGTTGGTCACAGTAAATGAATGTCATCTCACACTTTAAACTTGGAATATCAGGAAATTATTCCAATGTCTGATCTTGTGAGCATAAAAAATCCTATCTTTGAGAATCATAAAAGTCAGACACAAAATACTGTGTTTGTTTTTTTCATGAGATTTATTGAACATTGATAAAGATATACTGTTAATTTAATGGTTGTAACCTATTGGAGTCAAATCCATAAAATACACCTTGTAATGTTATATACCTTTTTATTTTAACTTAAAGGAACAGTTCACCCCAAAATCAAAAATACATATATTTCCTCTTACCTGTAGTGCTGTTTATCAGTCTAGATAGCTTTGGTGTGAGTTGCAGAGTTGGAGATATCAGCCATAGAGATGTCTGTCTTCTCATCTATATAATGGAACTAGATGGGGCTTGTCTTGAGGTACTCAAAGCACCAAAAAAAAATATTTGAAAAACTCAACAGCAATGTCTCTTTTCAGAAATCATGACCTAGTTACTCAAGATAATTCACAGATCATGTTGTAAGCAGTTTTATGTAGGAACTATTTTCTTTTGACCTAACTATATCCACCAACTGTATCACCGTGCAGAAGGAAACATGCATCTACTGCTAGCTTACCTAGCACCAGTTAGCTAGCTAACATTACAGCTCAGCCAAGGAGGATGCCATTAAAGTTACATGTGGCACTGCCACGAGAATGAGCCTCATGTCCATTAGTAGATGCACACTACATTCAATACAGGTAAGAGGAAAAATGTATGTATTTTTCATTTTGGGGTGAACTGCCCCTTTAAACTTCATGATGGTATCATGGAGACATCAATATGCTTTCCATAGAACAAGAAGACATGTAGGGTATTTCTATTATGTGTCAGTGGAAGGCCTAGTATTTGAAACATTGTGTTCCTTGATCGTTTTTTGTCTTTTTGTTGGGCAGTTGATTTTGTGAAGAAAAAAACCATATCCAAATATTTTCTTGCTTCTATGGGAATGAACTTGGTATGAGGATGGTTTACTCCCAAAGCACTGTGGGGGAAAAAAAAAACCTTTCTTCCTTCACTTAACTGTTGCAGGAATGTGTTTTTGATGGCTCTTTGCAGCATAGTACTACAGGTCAGCTAAATTGGTCTAATTCATGGCATGAAGTGGCCTAAAGTCTCAGCTGGAGGTGACAGGTGTCATCCATAATGGTAAGCTCCTGGCAGACAGAAATCCACTTATTGACACAGGCAGACTAGAAATCTCTCTCACACACACACACACACACACAAGGATTGGAAAGGGGTAGGTTCCAAGTATATATATCCCTTATTTGAGCCAGAGCTCCACTAATCTCTATAAACAGATATCTGCATCTGTATGAAGAATTAGTAGGCCACGGAAAGAGATTTTGGTTTCAGAAGTGTTCTGTTTCCTGTATGTAGTCCATTTGTGGTTTGAGTAGTACTGACCAATAATGTTTGAATGGCAGGTAAACAGTCTGTGTGGAGAGGCAGCAAAATGCAATCCTAGTACCTACCAGCTATCATCTGATGACGATTTAGCTTTAACCTTTTAATTTTTACAATTAAATTAATTAAATTAAATTTTTTGCAATTTATACAAATTTGGCACAAATTTGGCTCCACTTAAGCTGAACACACACTGGCGGCATAGTGCATCATATGTTGTGCGTCAAGTGCTGCATCCAACACCAATAGGAAGCGTTGCACTGCAGCTCATCAACAGAAGACCACACAGTTACACAAAGTTATTCCTACTTTTCCCTAAAGATCGGTACTTCTTTCACCTCTGCATTAGCTTAAAATGTGTGTACACCCACTAATTAAACTTGACTGAACATCTAAAGCGACAATATCCAGAATAATGGCTTTCCAAGCTATACCTCTTTTGCAATTATCTTTAAAATGACCAGATTGTGGGTCATATAACTTAGGGATATTTCTCAACCTTAATAACAAGTCTGTCCTCAACCATACTTAGACACACATGAGAGACAGCAACAGAGTTCTTGTTATATCCATGGCGAGAAAAGGAGTTGAGCTGCCACGGGAGCCTGTATGTACAAGCAGAGCAGGTCGGACAAAATGCTTTTAATTCAGATGCAGCAAAGATGGAAATAGGACAGTGGTGTAAAGTGTTGCTGGGCAACATGTTCATTAAACGCTGGCGTGCTTCTAGCCACTGCGGGGTTGTACATAGAAAATAATAAGGGCGGCTGTTTTGATGCATGCCGTTCTGCACCAGTGTGTTTTGGCCTTTAGACTTAAAGGGCCACTGTGTAAAATGGGTTGAAAACTGTGACATCAGTGGTCAAATTCTAGATTGCAGGGCTCACTCGCTCACCCCTCCCATCGGGTAAATGACGGTGGCCTTGTAGGGACAAAAAGCCTTACGCACGAGTTTTTCAGGAGTAGGTCTATCTAGCGCCGAGGTGAATATTTATTTAGAAATCTAAACCATGTTACAATATTGTAATGAATCCCTCACAAGCAGGAGACCAGAGGAGCGTTCGGGAAAAAGGCCAGTTTATTTGAGCACTCCAAAAACTCCGGTAACACTCCACTCCGTCCCAAACTCTGACTCTCCTGGCGTAACAGACACACTTAATAACTTTACACACATACTTGTTTATCATACTGAGTGGGGACCCCCCTCCCCTCTCTGCTCCACCAATCTCCAGCCCGCACACTGACTGACAGCGTAGCCTGTAAACAGAGCTCAGCTGTTTATTTAGCCTAGCAATATCTCCGGACTATAGTAGCTGCAATGGATGACTTTGAACGCGATTTTGAAGAGTTTCTTGTAGCGGACACAGACCCAGAGCCATACCTGTTTGAGCCGGAGCATACAGATGAGGAACTCCATGTGTTTGATGCTGAGCGGGCGAGAAGAGAGGCTGAATGCACAGAATGGGATTCGGTGCTACTGCTACCATTGTTGGGGAGATATATCATCAGGAGGAAAAGCGCCGCAGAGAGTGCATCACAAGGAGTGAAGTTGCATCTTCTTTTCCTCGCAGATGACGGTTTGGGTTCATTCTCTCCTGTTGCGTGGTAAATGTGGTCCATTCGCAAACTTTATAACTAAAAAAACTTTTCACTACTCTCTATCGACGAACTACTAACACTCTCTGCTGTTTCCTCCTCCTTCTTCCTTCCTTCCGCTGTCTTCGTTGGTTTATTTATACACACAAAACGCGTTCTCTGGCTGGCTGGATTGTCCGCTCGGTCTGCCGTACATACATGGCGGCGCAAGATGGCGACCTCTCTAAAGCAAGGCCCTTGCTATATATATATATATATATATAAAAGCATAATTATAAGGCTACGAAAACCAAACGAATTTTATTTTATAGCGATTATACACTTGTATAAACATATTAATGGGTAGAATATTCAGATTCAGATTCACATTTGACAATAAACCATGCCAAATATTACACACTGGCCCTTTAAGGATGAACTGATTCGATATTGCATATGTCTCATTCTTGTGAAGGTGATATCTCAAATGGCACACACATCCATTAGGACTCAAGGATGAATTGATTAGAATTTGGTAGTCAAAGGCCAAGGTCACCTTGACCTTAAAAACATGATTTTGGCCATAACTCAAAAAAATCATACATTTCATAATGTTCTGCAAAAACACTTTTCTGGCCATTACTCAGCATCATATCTCAGGAAAAGACGGGAAACATTTGATCAGATACTGAATTGGTGACATTAATCTCGAAACTGTGTTGATTGTATAGATCTTCTGTGGTGCCAAGTTCAAGATGTGTGTGAAGCATCCACATTTTAAAATTTGTAGCTTCTTTGCATTCACATCCGTATTTGAAACATTGTCAACTGTCATGACTACATATGAGTCTGGACAGTTATGGACATAAACTGTAACTGCAATTTGCATGGTCTGTGGTAGTGTACAACCATGTTGTTTTGATTCTAGTTTGTTTTAATTTATCTGCATACATATGCAGACATCTGTTTATTCAGATAAGACAAATTGGCTGGCACACCAAAGAGGAAGTCTTGTCCCGGATATCCACTCATTACACCGGATCTCCCGGTATATTGTTCGTTGCCTGTTGTCATCAGACTGATAGCCAATGGGTTCCAAGACTGGGACTTTACTCAGTGCCACAAAATGAAAAATTCACCCCTTGCTTTCACTTTCATCTGTCAAAGGTCTAACGTGAATAGAAATAACAGTTCAAGTTACAGTAGGTGAACAACCAAAGAAGTTTAAAGGAACAGTTTACAATTTGGAAATGCACGTAATTGCTTTCTTGCCAAGAGTTAGATGAGAACTTTACAATTGATTTCAATCTCGTCTGTGCAGTAAAGGTTCAGATTTTGTTCAAGTCTGTCTTCAATCAATACTTAGATGGCATTTATGGTAAATGGTAAATGAACCTGCATTTGTATAGCGGCTTTTTATTTATCTAGTGACCACTCAAAGCGCTTTTTACACTACAAGTCACGTTCACCCATTCACACACACATTCATACACTGGTGGCCGAGGCTACCATACAAGGTGCCACCTGCTACTCAGTTTTAACGCACTCACACACCGATGGAACAGCCATCGGGAGCAATTTGGGGTTCAGTATCAGGGATACAAGGATACTCAAGGATACTTCAACATGCAGCCTGGAGGAGCCCGTGATTGAACTGCTGATCTTTCTATTGGTGGACGACCCGCTCTACCCCTGAGCCACAGCCGCCCCAATTTATGTAAGTTGAATGTATTATTGGTCATTGTAAGTGATTTTTTGTTCATATACTGGCTCTGAAGTAATCCTTTCTTGAAGGACTCCAGTGGAAGAGGGGGTTACAAAACCTACAGTCCTTGATCTGTTCAAAAATGCATGCACAAGTTTAGTTAATATGAAGCTCTAACAATCTGATATAACCATATGAGTATGTGAGTATTGACAGAAAATAATCTGAATCCTTTTACGATGTAGCTAGTATTAGGAGGGAATCATTTTAGCTTAGCATAAAGACTGGTGGCAGGTGGAAACAGCTACAGTAACTTGGCTCATTCCAAGTTTCACAATAAAGGCTTCCAACAATGCTAAAGGTGACTAATTAGCATGTTACTGTATCACTCTGATTTTCTTAATTCATACACCTGCAAGGTATTGAACCAGCTGCTCAGAATACTTTGCTGGAGAACCACAACGTTTTAATATTTTGGTTGATAATGGATTTAAAAACAAG